AGGGCCATCCCTGGGCTGCGTCAGGCCTCAGGGACCACTTCTTTCTAAGTGAGGAGACAGAAACAACAAACATGAGAAGCTAAACACTGTCATCCTTAGCCCTCGTTCGGCATGAATGAGTGGGCTAGACTGAGTTTTACTCTCTGTCTTGATGGCAACACGTCTTAAGAAGCATCAATAGGTTAAGACCCTACTAATGTACAAACAAGCGCACACTGCTCTGTCCTGTAAGTCCCTCAAATCCCCTTATAGTGGTTTGTGCCTGGGTTGCCCCCATCTGAGAGAGCAAACCTGTCACTCTTACCTGACAACAAATAGTGTAGACCTTTTGACTTGTGTTTTCTGTAACTGTGGCTTTTAAAGGTTGTACTTTCACAACCACAAAGAAGAGTTATGGAGTACAGTAAAGTATGTCTGCTTGGAAATTTAGCCATATTTCTTCACCACAAAATTCAACTTCAGTTAAATTTCAAGTAAATTAAGGAGTGTGACTAAATGTCTATTGTGCTCTTATGACCCTGGGTGCACCAATGGGTTTGTCTGTACAAGGGTTCGAATGGGTCCGTTGGGATGAGGGGGTTTAGCAGGATCTGGAGACACTCACATCCTACTGAAACTAAAACTCTGCTGCAAATGCGAGGTAAATAAACACACTCAACTGAGTTATCATGGATATAAACACAGACCGCCTGTGCTGTTGTTTGCTTGACTGACCTGTTGTTGTCAAATCCTCTGCAGCTTGTCTGTCAGTCTCCATATCCTCCTGACTTGTGATGAAAGCAGCATCTCTGATTCCCCAAAGCCCTGAAAAACCACCAAACGCCACTCAAAAAAGGCAGACTGAGGCTTTCAGGAATAAATAATAGATATAACAATTGATAGCACTGGCCACACACACACATACACACACTGACACGCACTCAAACACACACACAGTGACCCCCCCACATACATTAAAAAGCAGACAGTGCCTTATGGTGTGTATCCTGGGATCAACGTCAGCTCAGAGGCTAAAGCCCGAAGGCGGGGCTTACCTGGTCAGGGACAAAGACTGAGCCAGTTAGATAAGAGATGACAAGAACCTGTGACGGTGAGGTCAGGGACTGCGGTCACAAGTGAATTTAGGAGATTTGTCTGGTGCAAAGACGCCTGAACCACATAAACAGTTTGTAATGCAATCAGAGTTGAACAGTCAGATCAGATCAGAGATCAGCTCTGGTCTAAGATGTTGTTGCTGTATTGCAGAGCATAACAGGAAATGTCATCGTCTTTATTAAATTAGGTGTTGGTATCTTATGTCATACATCACACATACGTCAGTATATTGAATGGGTTAGGACTTGCTAAAGAGTATGAGTATGTGCTTTGGCTACACAGCTTGCGGCGGTTGGATTTGTTCAATTAGTGACATGTGACAGCTAATGGGGCTTGACAACGGATTAGCTATCAAACATCGGCTGTTCACCTTCTGAAGCTTAACCCACATCCTTTTTCCACACTTGTCCCAGCATGCATAGGCACACACACACACACACACACACACGCAAAACAGTGTGTCTGCACATATCTTTCCCGCTCCTGTGATGAAAGCTATCATCTGGCTCCACAAGAAATGTTTTGGTTAGTGCAGGCCTGTGAGTGGTTTCCATTGTCAGAGGAAAGCCTCGGGGAAAGGTCGAACACTGCACAGTCTGTGTCCCTGACAGAGAGCTGGGGACAAGCATTTCTCAGTTCATGATTTTAGATTAAAGGTGGTGTTTCAAGCAGCATTTAGAGAAGGGAATTGAAAGGATCACTGTAGTTTCTTCATGTTTTTGTGTTGACATAATAAACTGTTGTGTAGTTAATGTAGATGAACAGACTTGTTGAGTTCATATATGTACTGCTGTGATTAGACATGTCCACTGGATGTCAGCAGAGATGTGGTTAAAAGATGGTGGGAGATGGTTGATAGATAACAGTTGGCTCCGACAACTACATCATCTGAACATCTGTTTTTCCAGAATGTGTGTTTTCCATTTTCTTGTAATGATGTTACCTGAAATGGCAGTCACTAAAAACTGATCTGAACTCTTGTTGGCGACGGTTGATTCTACAGAGGAAAAAAGATCTATCACTAGATAAATTGACTGTAGCAGAGTTGTTTTGGAGTGTAACTCATACTGTACTGTTTATATTTACATGCTGTGAAATATTTAGACACATATGTGCACATGTCAAACTCTCACACATCATGCAAGGGGGAGAAAACTTTTTTCTGTGCATGTTTTGTTGATAGTGTGTTTTTATGTGTGTGAATTTATAAATATGTCATGGCCAAAGAAAAGTTTGCAAGATCTCTCAGATATATCAATACCAAATATTTGTATTAAATAATGAAACACTGCAAAAATAGATGTTGTATTAATGTTGTGAAAACTTATAGATTCAGTATTCAGTATGCTGAGGCTCTAAAGACGGCAATGATGGTCCATCAGTCAGTCCACTTTGGTCCAAACAGATCCCAACAAACAGGTAGCCTTAAGGGAACATTCCCTAAAGGTTACCTTTAGACATTTTAGATAACCTTTAGGGAATGTTCCCTTAAGATTCCCTGAAGTTTATTTTTTGAAAACATTTTTGATAACCTTTAGGGAATGGTTCCCTAAATGTTTTTTTTAACAACTTCTGAATAACCCTTAGGGAAAGTTCCCTAAAGGTTCCTTGAAGGTTATTTTAAACAAATGTTTTAGATAACCTTTAGGGAACATTCCCTGAAGGTTATTTTTTGAAAAACCTTTTAGATAACATTTAGGGAATGTTCCCTGAGGGTTGTTTTAAAAAAAAAAAAAACCTTTGGAATAACCTTTAGGGAACATTCCCTAAAGGTGACCTGAAAGTTTAAAAAAAGAAAACACCTGTTAAAGAACCTTAAGCGAATGTTCCCTAAATGCTCCTTGAAGGTTTTTGTTTTTAAAAACCTTTTAGATAAACTTAAGGGTTTTTTTTGTTTGTTTGTTTGTTTTTTTTATTTAAATCACCTTTAGGGAACGTTCCCTTAAGATTCCCTTAAGTTTATTTTTGAAAACATTTTTGATAACCTTTAGGGAATGTTCCTTAAAGGTTCCCTAGAGGTATTTAAAAACAACAACTTTTGAATAACCCTTAGGGAAAGTTTCCTAAAGGTTCCTTGAAGGTTATTTTTAAAAACATTTAAGATAACCTTTAGGAAACATTCCCTAAACATTCCCTGAAGGTTATTTAAAAAAAAAAACATTTAAGATAACATTTAGGGAACATTCCCTGAAGTTTTTTTGTTTTTGTTTTTTTTTTTAAAAAACTTTTTGAATAATTGTTAGGGAATGTTCTCTGAAGGTTATTTTTTTTTTTAAAAAAAAAAAAACATTTTAGACAAACTTTAGGGAACTTTCCTGAAGGTTACTTTTTAAAACATTTTAGATAACCTTTAGGGAACATTCTCTAAATATTCCCTGAAGGTTATTTTACCCTCTTAATGGGAATCCACATGACAAACCAGATGCGAGCGGCACAAAAATTATGCTGACATGTTTGGTCTACTAAATCCACACAAACTTCTCCGTTCAGCAGTCTCTGTCGCCAGCACCAGCTGTTTGTCTCAAGTACTATTTGATAGATTAACATAGCATTCTGCAAAGACATATGTGGCGCCCACAGGATGAATCCTTATGACTCTGAGTATTCCCCCACTTTTCCCATCCACTCATTACCCACTCAAGCTCTATCCTGAGGTTTACATTTGTGGTTTTGAGTGAAATGTCTTGACAACTGTTGGATGGATGGGCATAACATATGGTTCACACACTCATGTTCCCTTCAGGATGAATGAGCCTGTAATAACTTTGGTGATTTTGGTGATGACTTTTCATCTAGTGCCACCACTGGATCAAAATTTAAAAATGTCTTATACCTTTGTTTACGACTAAATACCTGCAAAACTTACAACATTCTCATCAGCCTCAGCTTTGTGTTAGGTGTTAATTAGTTACTAAACTAAAATGCTAGCTGGCTGGATGCTGACTGGTAAATGTTATGCATGTCATTATGAGCATGTTAGCAGGTGTAGCAACTTAAACTGAATTTGTCCTGCACACTGATCCAAAGTAGCCTGGGTGTAACACTAATCTACGTCTTCCACACCAGGGGAAGGCCCACTGGGTTTTAAGTGGGTGTGAAAGCAACATTTTGTTCCTGTTAAAGTTCCTTTGAGAGGCATTTCTGAATTGTGAAAACTTAACACTAAATTACCTCCTTTATAAGGATTTATTCTACATTAAAAACTCTTAACAAACACTTGCTGCATTTGTTGAGTCTCTGCTGCTTTATCACTGTGTCTAATCAGCCCTCTGAGCCTGGGAGTGCCGGGCCATCCAGAAGGATTGAGTGTATGTTGAAAACCCACCGAAGCAAAGACAGCAAGTCCTGTGAGAAAACATTTTAATTGTGATTATTACAGACTAACTGACATGAGTCACGGATGATGTTTCATTTGGTATGTGGACCAAGGGGGTGGGATGTGCTGAGCTAGAATCATGTGTTCACATATATATCTTCTTTAAGTCATCTTCTTTAACAGATATAATCTCAACCTGTGCAGAAAACAGTCTGCAGAGTGATGAGGGACTCTCCAATCACAGGGGGAGATACTGTTTTTCTGTGTAGCTTTGTCTGTGTAGTCTCAGAGATATTGCTTACAAGGGTGCACACATAAAAAAACTCTGGAATAATAAACACAGTAGAAAAGAGAAGGACAACAACATGAGGGAAAAGCCAGGAGTTGTGGAGACAGAGGTGGGGGGAGCTCAGTGGGATGCACAGTGGGACCGTTTCCAAAGCAGTGAAACATGACTACTTGTGTTTACCCCCGCCTTCTCTCTCTCTGCGCGCGCGCACACACACACACACACACACACACACACACTTACTTTTGGATGCTTCAGCATGGCTCCCCTCCAGTCTCCAGACCAGGTTTTAGCTGATTACCAAAACGGGGGTCTATGGGAATCAACACCACTGAGCAGTGCTGGGTGGGGAGATGCTTTTTTTTTCCTTAACAAAATGAAGGAAAACAAGGGAAGAAAAGACTTATCCCACATCTATCCACATGGGACTGGAAACTGGACGAGACAGAGACAAGAGCCGGTGACCTCATGCGCACTGCACACCTGAACTTTTCTGCATGCGTGTCCTTCTCTCTCTGTCTCTCTCTCATTAGAAATAACACGCCTCTTGAGCAAAGGATATCATCAAACTCTTCGCCTTTGTGATCATGGAGTGAAAGTGTGTTGTAGATACGGCCCCAGGGGGGAAACTAAATGTGTGACTGCAGAGAAGTGACGCCCTGCCTGCATCCAGATGTTTCATGTTTCGCTTGCGCGCTCTTTGGGAAAGGTTCTACTCGCAGGGGAAACAGGGGGATCTTGAACGTGCTGCCCGAGGTCCGTGTCACTATATTAGGGTTAAAAAGACGACGAGTGCAATGCCGTTTGCGTCAAGTGTTTAGATTTTAAGCCAATCTTTCCACTGTTTTCCATCTGGAGAATGGAGACCGGCAAATTTAGGACGCTCATGCTGCTGGGGATACATTTGCTGTGGGTCTGCGCGCTGTCTGTGCAGGGGCACCCCGGTCCCAATCAGGAGAATGGTGAGTTTATAAAAGTGTGCTCACTGGTAACTGGTTATTTAGTTTACATTTCTAGTTTAATGTCATTTCAGTTTTGTTCATTTTACTTTTTTTATTTTGATTTGGCATTATTGAGAGACATTTTGATATTATTGCCTACTAGACACTTTACTTCAAATAAAAGTAAACCTAAGATGTAAAACTTAAGTGTTTCCAGCAACATATTGTTAAGTGTCAAAAGTAGACTGTATACTGATCATTTTGCAGTGTTAAATGTTATCATATATTCTTGTATTGAATTACTGATTATTAATTTTATCCCCTTTATTGCTGTTGCTGTGGTGCAGATCACCTCAACTACTCCACATGATTAAATCTATAACCATGCATCAAATTCTGTTAGCTATACTATAGTAATATTTAAATTCAAGTACTCAACATTAAGGGTGTAGGCTATATGTTCTTTGCTATTTTCCACTGCAAATTTGTCCAATAAACCAAAATAAATTGTCACGTAACTCTCAGTTTAAGATTTTTGATGTATTTTCAGATTTAAAGAGTTATTTCAGATGTTTTATTGCATTAAAGCTGCACTTGGTAACTTTTGCAAAAATAACCTTGTCATATTTGCAGAAACTGTAACGATATCCTGACAGTAGAACATGAGACACAAAACCGTGTGAAAAAGTCATGTTAGTCTGACTGTCGGGAGCACCGAGAGGAGCATTTCAGATGCTCCCAGTACTCTTCTTGGTGCTCCTGGCACCAGCAAGAACACCAGGTGCATTTGAAATAATCGATTGTGGGTGAACAAAAGCAAAAAATCAGATCTGGGAGTCTCTAAAAGAGATAATTCACTGCCTTGCTGCCAGTGACAGTGTTCACAGCAAAGACAAGTAAACAGAAGAGGAAGACAAGATAAGAATATACATTACGATACGATACGATGTTATACGATACGATATGAATCCTTTATTCTTCCCACAGCGGGGAAATTGCAACATTACAGCAGCAAAGGGATAGTGCAAACAGGAAGCATCAGTAGAAAAAAATCCAATACAAAGCAATATATAAGTGCGTAAAGATATAATGACATTTTAATCAAATATGTTATTTTTTTTATGAAAGTTACCATTAATTGAAAGGCAGACCAATGAGACTGACTGTCCTCTGCTGGTCATCTGTTGTTGTGTTTGAGGTCAGTTAGGCAGCCATGTGTGCCCGGCTGATGAATGGCTTCATTCTGAGACCTCTCACACAGACTCACAACCATCACAAGCCAGAAACCACAGTGTCATCTTCCATTTGACAGAGCATGACCTACTGCAGCATGTGAATGATGTGTATGCATGTTTGCTACAAGTCTGTTTTATCTCCTTCTCTTAGTGATTGACCTATTGGCAGCTCTAAACATGTCCCACCATGCAAGCGGCGTGGCCAGAATGCAGAGTCCAGGCAGTGTGGTGTACAAAATACGTCCCAGAGCGCCGTACCTGACTCTTCCTCGTGAATATTCCCACTTCTTGTCCTCCAACCTTCAGGGAGGCATGGGGGTGCATTTAATGGGGCATCAAGCATCGGGCTCCAGTGCCACTCTTTTTTCTGTCTCCTCTGCGTCCTCAACCATTCTCCAGATCGTCTCCTCCACCCTCAATAAAACTCTGCGTTTGGACTACCAGGCTGGAGGAGGAGCTCAGGGCCTTGCCAGCTTTCACTACCCCAGGAGAAACCCCTTCTCCATGGAGGAGTGGACACAGTTGGCAGTCAGCCTGGAAACTGACAGGCTGGCATTTTTTGTCGACTGTCAGGAAGCTGTGGTTTTATTGTTAAGAAGTGAGGAGAGAATCAACCTGGAACTGCCTCAAGATGCTGTTGTCACTCTTGCCAGCACACCAGGGAAGAAAGACAGCAAATATAGTGTGAGTTTCTCGCACATATTGTGTACATGTACATGCCAACATACTGACTGCAACAGTACAGTGAAGTTAAAGACTACATTATATACAAAATGTATGCAATTATTTTGCCTTTATTCAATGTGCATTCAGTACATACAGTAAAATCTAATATATGAGCGTTTCTGTGTTTTCTTATGAATGCAGGGTTACTTGAGGAAGGCTGAGATCTCAATGAAAGCATATCTAAGGCGGCCCTGGCTGTGTGACAATGTTACAGGTAAAGAAAGATGTCATAACTGAGTCTAAATCACTGTCTTTGTTTGGAGTATCTCAGTCTATTTGAGTTAAGAATGAGGATAAATGTATACGGAGAGTGCCAAAAATACCCACTGACCCTAGAGAGACGCCTTTCATAGTAAACATTTCAAAGCTCACCGGAGAGCTGTGATTGATTTCCTTTATTCCAGATACTATATATGTGTGTGCATGCTTACGTACACACATTGTGCATGTACATGTGCAGCCATATATTAGTTTGTATGGTGGAAAACAGATACTGCAGAGTTAACAGTGTGTCAGAGACTGCGGTGTCATTCCCTTCTCATTTCCTTTTGCGCCATTCTTTCACTTTATTACTACCCCCAGCAATTTATTATATTTTGAGAACTCTTGTCATAACCAGTTGTGTAAACTATTAAACAACTGATATTTGGCAACCCTAGCTAGAATCCCAAACAGGCGGATACTCCTAAAGCTCCGCAGTGGGACCGTTAGATCATATCTTTTGGCACTCAGGCAGAAAGTCCCCCAAACAGTTTGTTTATTATGACTCAGTGTGGGTCTTCATTTTGACAACATTTTTCGAGGATGTTTGTGTAGGCTACAAATATGTTCCTTTGTTCATTTAAGAATACCCAGGAATCTGTTTCTCACCGACTGCTGCTTTCTCCATCCAGATTCTCTGCCTCCGTCTCAGTCCGCAGAAGCCCATATCTCAGATTCTCAGACTGACAGCAGTCGAAAGTTCCAGCAGGATGCGTCCCCCAGTAAACCTCAGACAAGCCGCGGGGCAAAGGACCAAACCAGCCATTATCCCCAGGACGTCCAGAGTGACCAGCTGCAGAGAGGTGTGGTGCTGGGGCCTCCAGGATCTCCTCAAGGGGTGAGGTCTGTTTCTCAGGCACAGCAGGATGACAGGCTGAAGAAGCTGGAGAGGAGGGTGGAGGAGCTGGCTCACATGCTGGATATGGTCAAAACTCAGGTATGTGTTGCACTTAGATTATATGACCGTCCGTGATAAAACAAGAATATAAAACAAGAATATCAAGTGATGCGACATTTTTGTTTCTCTACAGAATGCAGACCTGCAGTCACGCTTACAGTACCTGGAGGGATGTGAGTGTGTGAGGCAGCGATGCATATGGGAGGGGCGTGAAATGGAGGATGGTCAGCACTGGCAGGTTGACCTCAACACTGTGTGTACGTGTGCATCTGGAAAGGTCACATGCCAAGCTAACACCAAAGGTAAAGACGACTCAGATTCTGCCAGCTCTCTTTCTCTCCTTCATTCCCTTTCTCTGTTTATCTTTTTCACACATTTACACAAACACACAATAAAACCTGTGTGATTACGACATATTTTCCTCAACCTTACACTAACACACATTCAACCGGTGTTAAGTAGCTAGCTTGCAGATGGCCGCCCCTCTCCCAGACCCTTGTCTGTCTAACCCCTGTCAAAATGGAGGCGTATGTTTCGTCTTGACCTCTGACCCCGCTGGGTTTCACTGCTCCTGTCCTCCCAACACCAAGGGACCAGTGTGTCAGAGACTGCTGAGACAGGTATATTTGTACCAGGATTAGTGGAGTAAATTCATAAAGTGTTACGAAACAACAAAATGTCCATGTTGCTGATGTTGTGAAAATGTATGTGTCAGTCCCTGGGTGTTTTTTAGCCATGCTAGCAGCAATGTCCAGAGATGTCAATGTCAGCGCACCACTGCGGCCCAAATATCTCAGCAGCTACTGAGTGAATTGATATCAAAGTTTACACAGACATTTATGGTGCCCAGATGATGGATTGTAATAGCACTGGTGATCTCTATACCTTTTATCCAGCGCCATCATGGCAAAATCTCAATTTTTCCAATACTGTGGTTTATGACAAAATATTTTCCTTGGCTATGTTTTGTTTAGTGCTAATCATGATTGAGAGTGTGTTAAACATTATGCCATTAAACAAAAGCATGTCAGCTTTCATTGTGAGCATGATAGCATGCTAACATCTGTTAGCCTCATGTGCACTTAGCTCAAGGCCCTGCTATGCTTAAGTCTAGCATCACAGCGCTGCTAGCAGGACATAGATAACATGCTTCTTGTTATGTTGAGCATGTGTCTACTGTAAGTGTTTCATTATTTTACTTTTATAGATTTATTGTGTCTTTGGTCACCCGGCAGGTCTCCAGAACTTTTGAAATGCTTGAGGTGGGTCACAATCACAAATGAAAATGAAGGTTTGAAACCCTCTTCTGTTAAGTGTTGTGTTACTGTAGTTTTTGTACTACTTTCTTATAGTTGTAGCATTTTCTTTTCAGTTATTTTGTTTGCACTTGCCTTGTAATTTTGCACCACTGTAGTGAGGTAGACATTTTGGGAAATACACTTTGTTTTAAGTTAGATAAGATCAATACCAGTCTCATTGTGACCGAGTGAGGCTAGTTGTTTCCTTGTTTTACGTCTCCTAGTGGGGACATCATATTTCACAGACAGATGCCAGAGTGGTGCCAAACCCCTCATCTAACTCTCGGCACGAAAGTGAATAAGTGTGTTTCTCAAAATGTCAAGTCATTCTTTTAATAGCTGATCTAGTTTTTAGATCACGCTTGTGATTGTTGTGTGTTCACGGTTTAGCTGTAGAATGTTGCTTGGCCTGCTGCATTGGGTGAGCCCAATAGCAGTGCTTTGCTTTACTTTAGTCCTTTGTCAATTCTGGCTGTGGGCAATGCAGTGGGGTTTAAGGCTGGGTAAGAGGCCCTGTGTCCCCCCTCCACACTTCTAGGCATGTTGGGTACCCAAACCAGAGACCAACTGTGAAGGGATGCGGCCATTTCAACGCCGCTGGGCCTTTAATCCTGCCTCTGGCCTCTGTGAGGATTTCCTCTACTGCACTGGAAACAGCAGCAACAACTTCCCTTCCTTTAATGCCTGTAGGGACCAGTGCATGTTGGGTGCGTGCTGCCTCCGCAAACAGCGGCAGGATCTTCCCTCTGGCCACCAGAATTACACCTTACATGGATACAACATCTCCTCTGTGAACAGGACTCTCTGGAGATATGACCACAATAATTTGGAGGATGAAATGTTTTACAGCAATATAGACTCCAACCGCACTGAGATGAAAGATCTTAAAGGAAACCTTCAAAGTGTAGACTGCCGCAGGGACCCGGATTTCAATTATACCTGTGATTACCTAACCCTAACACAGTGCCAAGCTTTGTTGAATGACCAAGCTGGAGAGGCGCAAGTAATGAGCTTCTCCACCGGAGCGAAGTGTACTGACGTAAGTTGTGGTGGAGGTTGTGGTTGCTTCCTTCAACAAAAGCTGTGGAGATATAGGGAATGGTTCAGGCAAGGCTGTGAAGAGTGCACATGCACACATAATGGCAGCGTTGACTGTGTGTGCAGACATCTGACCCAGCGTAAAGAGATAAGAGACCTTACACAGAGAGAGAGGAAGTTGTACCAGCGGGCTATCAGGAAAGTCTATGCCAAGCCAGGTAAGACTGTGAATCTAAATATTTTTGTTCCTTACCTTTTTAAAATATAAAATATACATTTATATCATTATTATGGGTTTACCTGTGTCTTTGTTTGTGTGTTCACATGTGGATTTAGCTGTGTGGAAGGGCTTTGCGCTACTGAGAGCTGAGTTCTCCCCTCTGGCCAGTGATCATACCTTCTTCCTCCCATGGCACCGCTACTTCCTACAGTTAGTAGAGCGTGAGCTGCAGTCAGTGTCATCATGCAGACTGGCGCTTCCGTATTTTGAGTGGACAGTGGACTCTGGGTCAATGAAGTCCTCGGCTGCGTGGCAGGCTGGATTGTTTGGAGGAGATGGTGAGCCCGGCTCCAACTGCGTCCTACATCACCCTTTCCGGGGCTTGACTTCCCGTTTCCACTGGTCGCCTTGTCTCAGACGCAGTTTCAACTCCTCGGTTTGTCTTACAGCTTTTATTCATTCAACAGCCCACCTCACTGTACTTTGCATACATTGCAGTGTTTTGAGCTGTATAACAGGTATCAGGTTTGTCTAACTTATTTCCGATGATTTCTTCAGGTGTGGCTGCCAGATGCAGTGACCCTGCAGAGGACTGTAAATCAGGCAGACTTCCAGGTATTTTCCCAGTCTCTGCAAACCTTTTCTGGCCACTTTAGGCTTTGGGTAGGGGGGCATATGGCTTCCCCTCTGGCTGCTTACGACCCATTATACCTGTCTCACATGGCATTCATGGACAAGCTGTGGGCACAATGGCAAGATAAACATCAGCATGGATCAAAAAGACAAAATTCCAGGGACGATAAGGCTCAGAGCAGCATCATTTACCCCGCCAGACAGAGGCATGTGAAGATAAAGCCTTTTGATGTTACCCCTGATGATGTGATGTCTTCCCAGCAGCAGATGTGTATTGTATACGTGCCCATAACCATTGGTGCACCTTGTAATATAACATCATTACAAACACACCCAAGAGGGAGTCCGAAATTTAAGAAGCGTAGCTTGGACAAACACAACTCACACTCCAATAGTTTTGTCATTGGAGGCTTTGACAGCAGTGGTTTTGACCAGCACGGATATGATCGTAATGGCTATGACTGGAGCGGTTGGGACAAGTGGGGCTATGGCAAAGATGGCTTTAACCGGGACTTTATTGATATGGATGGATATGATGTATCTGGTTTCAACCGCTATGGGTTCAACCGTTCTAATGTCACCTGGTTTGGCATGCGTAAAGATGGCATGTTTGAGAGTGTGAAAAAGAAAAAGCATAACGAGACAGATGAAGAGGAGGAGAATGATAACAAGTCACACAAAGACAAGATAATGTCCAAGCTCTTCGGTGACAAAGGCTACAGCATCTACGGGTTTGATCCATTTGGTTTGGATCGCAGCGGGTTTGACGCATTCGGCTTTCGAATGGATGGCTATGACAAGGACAGTTGCAACTGGTTCTTCAATGGGCCGCACTACCTGCGGTTCTACTTCCACACCCAGCAGCAGTTGATGTCATCCAGTGACCAAGCTTTAAACCGTATCACCCGTACCTGCCCTCCAATCTCCTCCCTGCCCCAACACTGGGTCAGACAGGACTGGATGACCTTTGATCCAGACAAAAGCAGTGCTCTGAATAGTCTACTACAGCAGGAATGGATGAGACAAATTAAGCCAGAGAGTGATGATAATGTTACAGCAGCTACTCAAAATAAGAGCAACATATGGCTTCCACACACACCAGATCACAGGTATCAGAATTACAAGAAGAAAGTGAGAAATGCCTCGAAAAGCCAGACCATAATGTATTGTTGGATGCTCATTGGAGAATGACTCGACTCGGTTTTCTGCTTTGGACCCTATGCATCGACATAAGCCTTCCCTTAACCTGATTGGACAAACAAACCATTTGCTAGGCTGTCATAGAGTGGTGCAGGGATGACAAATTATTTGTAGGCCAACACAGAGGTTAACATCTCCCTGGGTCCTCTGACAAAAAGCCAATGAGATATTGGATTATTCTGTCAAACAAGCTCTGAGGCAAACCCAAGATTATGATACATATACATGTTTTGTTCAGCAAGGTAATCTTCACAAACAAATGCCACTTTCATGATTTTCAAAGTGTAAATGCAGTCGATAGGATTAAAAAGCTAACTTTAGGCTATAAATGAACTACACTATGGTCACGACTCCAACATTGCACCCACAACAAGGTTGTAAATCTGTGTTCCATTGGATTGCATTCTGTAGTCTCATATAGCCACTTGTTAGGAACCCTCTTTTTTAAGACATGTAAAGGCCCCATAATTCATGAGTGGGGTATTTACTGACATGTCTTATGTCATAGAACAAAACCTCATTCAAAAAAAACATTGACTTTGAGAAGAGGGAACCTGGGTGTGCAAAACTGCTAACTCATTCCTACACCACTCTATTGGTCAGTTGAATTTCTATCCATTAATATCAGTTTCTCAATAACTTTGAGATCAAAACTAGGACATGTAGTCACAAATCCCCACTTAATTGTGCACCTATAACAGTTGTTCTCAAGTTGCAAAGTTTCCAGAGTTAGCGTGTCACATTATCAACTAAACCTCTCCTCAAAGCTTCAGCATCCAATTACTAAGCTCAGGCAAATCTCAGAGGAGGTTTTTGAAACCAAAATCTTATAGTGCAAACAGAACTAGAAATATACCAGCTGGCTTTACGGGGCTATAGTCATATTATGAATAGTAATTCAATATTTTGTAAATTGTTTTTGGCATTTCAACCTATGTGGTCCATTTCCCCTTGAAACACTGTCCGTAGGTTTTGCTTCAAGCTCCACTGGTTCAGCGGCTGTCCCCTTGGCTCTGCGCCTATCAGCTGCCCTAACCTCTGCAATCAGGCCCGCTGCCACGTGTACCCCGAGGCTGTCTGCCATATGCGCAATTGTGGTTCCTGTTTCACAGAGTGGCGAGATCCAACAACTGGAAACCACGTAATATGCCATGGCTGGTAAACACTGGATTGTTTCCCAGAAAAATGGAGGAATAAAGTACTTTATACAGCTTTTCACAACAGTGAGAAGAGAACGGACCATCATTCGGTACCTGCATCGTCTCTGTGAGCTCAGAGAAACAGAAAGCACTTCATCATAATGATGACTGTTGAGAGGACTGATACTGGAGTAAAATAGGACAAAGACTTAATTATCAATGTTGTATTAGCAAAATGTGCTTTGAAATCTGTTTTTACCTCATTACAAGATTATCCACCTGTCCCACCACATTTACATTTTGACTCACTCTGTATCGTCCTTGTATCTCCTTGATATAGGGTGTTACAGTGTTAGTTCACCCAGGTTACAAAAAACATTTCTCCAGTGGTATATAGCCAAGGAGATAGTTTTGGCTAACCCCCACCCCCACACGCAGATTTGCAAAATATTCTATTTCTGTAGTTTGAATTTGACTTCAATTGTATTTGTGGTGAATAAATTCCATTTCAAAACCATCAGTTCAGCAAGTAACAGGCGGCATGGTGGTGCAGCGGTTAGCATTGTGGCCTCACAGCAAGACGGTTCCTCTTCGGGGTGGGGTAGCCCTTCTATGCGAAGTTAGCATGTTCTCCCCGTCGCAGGAGGGGCTTTCTGTGGGTACTCCGGCTTCCTCCGAAAATCCAAAGGCATGCAGGCTAGATTACCCATAGGTGTGAATGTGAGTGTGAATGGTTGTCTGTCTCTATGTATGATAGTCCAGCAAACTGTCCAGGGTGTACCCCGCCTCTTGCCCAGTGTCAGCTACAATAGGCTCCAGCACACCCGTGACCCCCAACAGGATAAGCAGCTACGGAAAATGAAATGAATGAATGAGTCCAGTAACATTAGTCTGGATGTTCCACAGACCACACTGTCATGAGTTGGTTGGAGCTATTACTTGAACTATTTTTTGGTTGAAAGACGTGCACTAAAAACTGTTGACAGTAAAGTTCTGTTTAATATGAGCAGTGGAGACATTGTGTGTGTAAACAGATATTGTTACGTTTTTTAGTGCATTTTTCTAGGCTGTAGGCAAAATACAAAATACCATTAACCTTGAATGTATTCGGAGAATATGAATACAGAGATGGAAATCTCAAAATCTGAACAAATAAAACCAAAACTTTCTTCTGAGCTAGATCCCACCAGAGGTCTGTAAAAGAAACTTGACTCTAAAGCTGCTGTAGTCAATATTCATATACTGATGTTCAATCAAATGCATACTTTTATTGTGAGGGGTGTCACTGTTAGTGATGAACCCACAGAGCATTGGTTTGGTTTTATGGCCTTCAGCTTTCCTGCTTTGTTTCACTTTCACCACTCTCATTAACCTTGCAGCAGTAAGCTGTGTCTGGCAAAAAAAAGAAAAAAAAAACTTTCTTTAAACTAGCTGGTGAACATAGTTAAGCAACTGTATAAGAGCTAGAAGTTTCCCTTAGGATATTGTCATGAGCTAAAAGAGAGTGAATGGTGGACTCACATTCTTCAGGTAGGCAGAAATATGACGTTCACCATATCAACTTTGTAAGGGAATAATTTGTCACTGTTGTGTTTTACAGCTCGTTGTGCTGCCCCCGAGTGTCCAAAAAGTCTGTTAATGCAGGTTTAAAGCATCATCCTGGTAGAGTCACGTGTTTTTCCAATGTTTTAATTCCAATGTATGTGTTAGAGCAGTGGTTCCCAACTGGTGGGTCGCAGTCCAAAAGTGGGTTGCGGACTTGCAAATGTGGAGTTTGCAAAAAACACACTTTATTTTTAAGTACAGTGAATTTCTGGCACAAAGCTTTTATTTTGACTGATGGACAGCTACCTGATAGAGACAGCAAACTAGCTTAATGACAAGGCCAACCACAAGTATGACGGTGAATATATTAAACAGTGTAGACCTTGAAGTAATGACTAAGGTGAAATTTGGACCCGTGGCCGGACCAGTTGGGATCCACTGTTTTAGAGTACCTTGTCATTGTATAGTAACACAGCTGCTGTCAATTTCCTGGTTGTGCATTTAAGGTAACTGAGTACAACAGCTTGTCATAACGGAGTGGAACAAACAAGTGGGACTTTAGTTGATGTTGGACTGGCCTCATTAGGGATCCTCTGACTCTCTTTGTCTCTTTTTTCCCCACTCCCACAGAGTTATGTAAACTTCTCTTCTGCCTATTGTGCACATTTTCTTCATCAGTGTAACGCACATGTGCCCAAACAGCCCTCTGTCCCCTCTCTCACCCCCACTGACTATTCTCTCTGTCACTGTCTTTTCATCCATCCTCCTCTTAATTGTTTCTGCATGTAGGCCAGAAGACCCTAATGGTACCCGGTTGATACACACTCGGAGACTCACACTCTCACACACACTTTGATCTCATGCATGCTTGGCTTGCTAGAGGAAATGCCTGTTGGCTGCTGGCACAGTAGGCAGCCTCACTAGCCTCTCTCACACTCTGTGATTATTGCCCTCTCTCACACACAAACACATTGTCTCTGTCCTTTGGAGAGTTGTCATTAAAATAATTATCTGCTAAAATGTCCAAGCTAAGCGAAAATAATATTTGATGAGCTTTCTGAAAGCCTTTGATGAAACAAAGCGATGTTGCTCTTCAGAGTTCGGTATGTTCTGCACTGTAAACAACGTAATGGCTCCAAAATAACAGCCGCAGAATGCGGGGAAGTTGTTAGGGCCATGATCTGCTACTCCTACAGTAAATCTCTTCCAGTGTTAATAGACTTGCCGGTGGTAGTCCTTAACAGCTGGAAGGCTGCAGGCACTTGTGGTTACAGTTACGGCCCATAAAACTTTGTATGTGTGAGAGAGAGCGAGCACATGTACATTACATCAGAACCACACTGTTCTGTCATCACTGGAGAGACAGCAGAGCCAGATGTTCTCCTGTGACCTAGAGTAGAGACAAGGTGAAGAAGGCACCAGCTGTAATGCTCAAACTTATTTCCACTTTCCTCTTTTCTTACTTAAACTATCAGTATACATTCCAACTTTATCATATGCAGACACACAATCTCAAAAATGTGTATAATCTTCTGTCTCATCTTCAGGGTGTGAACCGGATGGCAAAGTTCATAATGTGTCCTACACTATAGATGGCTGTCAGACGTGTTCGTGTAAGGTGAGTATTTCCATTTTGACATTTCTTGAGCCTGACAAATTGCTGTGGTCTTCCCATTTATCATTTTCTGCCACCTCTGTGTCCATTCATTGCTAACAGGAAGGTAACAGGGACTGCAATCCCCAACCCTGCCCTTCACCGGACTGCACACACAAGGACACTGTATCTGGAGACTGCTGCCAGCAATGCGGTAAGCAACGAGGTAAGGACACAGCAAAAAAAATCTGTACGCAACAAACTTTATAAATGTAAAACAAAACATTTAATGTGTCTAGTAAACTATGTAAAAAATTGTTTAGATCAATCCACATGACCATTGCACAGGATGCATATAGGTTTTCATACTTCTTCATACTTGACCCACAAAACCTGTCACTGACCACTTGCAGATGGCAGCACTGGTATATTTTTTAATCTATAAAGCAATATCTTCGCCATTTTCCTTGAAAGCATGCAAGAAAAACAATGTTTTCTTCATGAATTCAAGGTAACATGACTAACTGATTTACAAGTAGTCATTATGTTGGTGAAGTACACCTATGAGTTGCCAGACTAGGAAAATCTCTCCCAGACAGCAGGGGGTGCAAATGTGCTTCCACAGTTAAGGGGTGACATTAGTCCGACCTGACAGATAAGATGGATCTGCATGAAAATGGAAAGTTCCTCCAGAAAGAGACATTATTCTCTCTCATTTGTTCTGCTACATCAACATTTAACCCCTTCACTGCCAGTAACACCAGAACAGTAAAGCAATCTGTATAAATGTGTTTGCAGGCTGCGTACATTCTGGTGTCCAGTATGATCACGGAGCCACCTGGAGGTTGGTGGAGAATCCCTGTGAAGTCTGCTACTGTCTGGTGGGTCGGATACTGACTGACAGTTTAACCTTTTATCTTCTCTATCAACTTCATCTTTACTGATATCCTTCTGTCCTCTCACAAGGAGGGTCAAGTTCGCTGTGAGAGGGAGCAATGTAACATCCCGTGTAAAAACCCAGCTGCTCCTCCACCCAAGACATGCTGTCCAGTCTGTCAAGGTGGGTTTCTTCATATCACTGTAGCAGTGTGTGTGTGGCTTCAGTGAGCTGCAGAGACATAGTGTGTGTTCTGTGTCTTGTAGGCTGTGGTGTAAATGGTCAAGACTTTCCTAACGGAGCTCTGATCCCCACTGGAGGCCGTTGCCAGGAGTGCTCGTGTGTGGTACGTCATTTATCACCATATTCATTATTAAATTAAATTTTTGTGTGTATGAATCACTTTTATCTTTGCTCTGTCTTTCTCCTGCAGAATGGAAATATGGTTTGTTCACCCCTTCCCTGTCCTGCCTTGAATTGTCGAAACCCTGTGCATCATCCTGAAGACTGTTGCCCACGGTAACCAACCTGCCTAACATCATCCACATCACTTTCAAGCCTGCGTCAATCCACCTTATTCATCTCAGAGCAAGTGAAACATTTCCGAAAGTTTTAAATATGTATGTCGTGTGTGTGTGTGTGTGTGTGTGTGTGTGTGTGACCTGCAGGTGTGAGCACTGTGAATATGATTCTAAGGTGTATGTGGATGGACAGAAGTTCCCCTCCAGGAGAGACCCCTGCCTGCACTGCCGCTGCTCTGTGAGTTCAGTCTGGTTTTTTATGGATACATGATGTTCATGTGACAAGACGATGGGTTAGAAATGTTTAAACACTCAGGGGTTCAAAGAAAACCTCTTAAAGCCTATTGCACTTTCAGAACTAAATGTGATTAGATTTGAAAATGGGAATAAGTGTGAAAATATAGTTGCTTTTTAAGTCCTGAAAAATGTAGTTTATGTACACACTATGTAATAAAGAGTTTCTAAATAACCTCAAACCTAGTTTTGCCTCTCTGTACTGCAGGTTCTTGCTACTTACCGGCTGACATACACCAATACTGATGTATCTGCAATAAGATTTTCTGGCCTGCTAGATTTATTACTCTTGCACTAGTTTATAGGTTTGAGCTTTGTAATCTAACAGCCACTGAATGTTACAGAGTGACACATCTAATCTCTTCTTGTGCCTACCTGTTAGGCAGGTGAAGTGTCTTGTGAGCGTATGGATTCATCATGTCCCGCATTACACTGCAGCCATCCAGCTAGGCGGAAAGGAGAGTGTTGTCCCACATGCACTGGTCAGTATATCTGTAAATTTGTCTAAAAGACATAATTTTCTCATGTCTTTGTCAAATTTGTTTGAGCGATTGCGTGCCGTCATCCAAATCTGACTTTCATTTGTCAGATTCAAGCATAACCAGGGTTTGTATTTGTTCCCACAGAATGTGAGTATGACGGGAGGGTGTATGCTGATGGAAAAGCGTTTGCGCCTCCTGGAAGCGGACCCTGCCTGCATTGCAGGTGTAAGGCAAGTCTGAACAGTATATTCAAGAGGAAAGTAAGCCTGAATCTAACCATTATTTTCATAATGGTTCAATCTGTGTATTATTCTTTTGATTTGTCAGCTAGTTTTTTGGTCTATAAAATGTCAAGGAAGGGATGAACATTAGCTCACCTGGTCGAGTGGGTGCCCCATGTACAAAAGGCTTTGTCATGGCTTCAATTCCAACCTACGGCCCTTTGCTGCATGTCATCCTCCCTCTCTCTCCCCCCTTCACGTTATGACAACTGTCCTATCAATTAAAGGCAAAAAAGCCCTAAAAAATCTTCAAAAAATGTTAGAAAAATGTTTTTCAGTGTTTCTAAAGCCTGAGATCACGTCCTCAAATGTCATGTTTTATCCAAGACCCAAAGATATTCAGCTTGTTGTCGAAGAGGAATAAAGAAACCTGGAAATATGAGAGATTTTTTACTTATTTAGATTAGATGACTCATACCAATTCACCAATTATTCCAATTATGAAGTTAGTTGGCAGTTAATTTAATAGTTGACAACTAATCGATTAACCTTTGCAGCTCTAGAAGAAAGTGGTAAAACTTTGAGGCAAGTGTGTTTTATCTTTATTTACAAAGAGATGTTATACATTTGTCTTACATCTCAAAAAAAGTCTAATGTTTTCACTCTCTTTTGGCTCTTAGAGCACTGTATGACTCTATTTTTTTATAGCACCCAGTGGGCACATAATAGCTGTTATGGTTCTGTATGCTCCTATAAAATGAAACACACTGTAATCATAATGTTTTCATACTTTATGTCTGCTACAGGGTGGGAATGTCATTTGCCGTGAAGAGAAGTGCCCTCCTGTCCCATGCTCCAACCCTATTATAGATCCACATCTGTGCTGTCCAATCTGTAAAGGTAATGATGCACACACACACACACACACACACACACACACATGCAAGCGCAGCTCATCGATAAATATACTGTATGAAATCTCCTCTTTTCTCATTATAGCCTGTGTGTTGGAGGGGGTGGAATATGAAGAAGGCTCCAAATGGCACCCTGAGGGTCCCTGTTCCAGCTGCACCTGTGTGAATGGAGAGACGGTGTGTACACACACACAGTGTGGCCCCACTGAGTGCCTGCATCCCACCAAGATCACTGGTAAGAGTGTGTGTGTCTGAGGCTATACTCACATTAATACGTTTTCATTTTAAACTGCATAACTATTGCTATGTTTACACCTGGTGTCGACACTACTCTGGCATTTTGGAACCCCTAAAATGGAGACCTTTGAAAATGCTGCCGACCCCATTTTAGTCGGGACCGGTGGAAACGAAGACCTACCCAAAACGCTGTACTTTGTTCATATGCTGACGACTGTGTAACCTCACTGTCTCTTTCCTTTCCTTAGGCTCCTGTTGTGCAGTGTGTGAAAGTTGCACCTATAACCATCGTATCTATAGCAACGGCCAGAGGTTTACAACCCCTGACCACCCATGCCACATCTGCACCTGTCAGGTGAGTGCACTGATGTTCACACACACACACACACTACACAGTACTGTTCACCTTCAAACCTGCTGATACGGCCTTCCTTTCTCCTCAGCATGGCAGTGTACAGTGTGAGAGGAGACCTTGTCCTCCACTTAACTGCTCCAACCCATACACACCAGCTGGAGAGTGCTGCCCTAAATGTCCAGGTACACAACCTCAGAAAGAGATTTGGTCATGAATCAATTTTAATGTGGATAAGTTTATTCTCAGCTCACTATAGTGTCTGTGTGTTTGTATCTTTTCCAGACTGCTCCTTTGAAAACCACGTATTTGTGGATGGAGAGGCTTTTCCTAACCCTGTGAGTGTGTGTGAGGAGTGTAGGTGTGTGAGCGGCCAGATTGACTGCCACCAACCGCAATGCCCTAATCCTCGCTGTAACGCTCCTCTACCTGGAACATGCTGTCAGAACAACTGCAACGGTGAGAAAACATGGATTTTCTATCAGTTAAACAAATTTAACAAATCAAATTCTCACAGTTACATAATATCCCTCTGCATCAGGCTGCAGCTACGCTGGGAAGGAGTATCCCAACGGAGAGGAGTTTCCTCATCCTACTGACAGATGCAGGACATGCAGCTGCATCGTAAGAATAATCAGTATCACAGCCTGACTCCTGCTGTGTTCACCTGTGGTCTTCTTGAAGCAGGTTTTTATTTCAGTCTGTGTTGTGTTTGTTGTAGAATGGGAATGTCCAGTGTCTGATGAGGAGATGTCCACTGCTGCCGTGTTCGAACCCAAATGTGCTGCCTGGAGAATGCTGCCCCCAGTGTCCTGGTAAGGATGTGCAAGAAAGACAAAACAGGGATGTGAGATGTCTGTAGCAGTGACTGTGATGCGTGCCTGCTGTGCTAGAAAGTTGAAGGAGGAGCGCAGTGAAGTTAAAAACAGGTATCCTCTAAAAGCAATGGGAGGTTGGTAATTGTATGTTCTCACCTTAATCGGCCTCACAGTGGTTGGAGCTGCAGTACTTGCCGTGGCACACAGCTCATAGAGGCAATTTGGGTGCATAAAATCCATCAGCATCCTTTTACCACAATTTTGTCGAAAAGCTTTGAGTGAAATCTGAACACAGTCATGACGCACAAATTTTTGAATTCAGTGTGACTCACACTTTCCCATGATACCTACATCTCCGATGCCCATCTCAAAAAGACTGCCTTAAATCCTATTAGAGAACAGAATGTCATGTGGATGGATGAAATCAGATCTGAAATAATACAACACTATATACAGCACACATTTAATCATTATTTCTTATTTTGTTGATTGTTTTTTATCTGCTAGCTTAATGTCTGTTATCAGCTGAGTGTAACATCACATCAGTTGTTGCCAGATCTCACGAGAGTATGTTGCTAAAACAGAGACATGTCTCGAACAAATTTAATGTTCTCCTGATTTGTCTGTCAGAAAAATGCCATTTCAGTGTAATAATGTTTAGAAGGATTGGGGCTGTTAAAATGGGGTCCAATATTTACTTCAGTGACTATGGGGCGAAGGAAATGGTTATAATCTGTACTCATGTTCAGTTTTCTATTGCAATGAATGGCCGCAGCTGGTCTTCTAAAGGGGCGCGACACTGGTGAAGCCCATGTGTCACAGATACAGGAGATGAAACTGAAGTGGGCTGTCTCAGTTTATCAATGGACTCTGGTTGTAGCCTCCTGCTTTGCTAATGAGCCGAGTGTCTCCCAAAGCCGCCAGCATTATGGTTTTTACACTTAACTGAACAGATTTACACTTTGCTAGTGAGCCATTTGGAAAGTACCAAAATTATTTGAATGCAGTTTGGACTAATTGGTGTTGTGCGAAGAATCACCTAAAAAGCTGATAATTTAAAAAAAAAAAAAAATGTAATTAGCACTTTTCAAGCTGAAGCACAAAACGCTTTCCAGATTAAAAGATTTACAGAATGAAAATTAAAAAATCAAAAACACATGCAAGTCCCCCACTGTTTGACATAGAAGAATTAGGAAAAGAAGAGCACATATGTCAAGCATCACTGAGGTGGGGGGGCCCACAGAGAGAGTGGACCATCCAGCAATGTGTTGGGTGGAGTATGGGCCCTTATGATTTTTGCTATCAATGATTTAGAGTTTGAAGATTTTCCCTTCAGACAAATACTATATTTTTTAATTTCACCGGCCGTACCTCTTCTGTGGTTGACATGATGTTCATTTGTGTGATGATTTGCTACAGAGTTTGTTTATTTACTCATGATGGTTGAACACAGCAGAGATTATGACACTGTATAGTTGATATAGTTTTCCCTCATATTCCCTCAGCTCCTCCTTTGGACTGTGTGTACGAGCAACGATCCTACAGACACACTGAGCGTTTCTACCACCCAGCTGACAGCTGTCGATCATGCACCTGCACCAATGGGACTGTTCACTGTCAGCGCAAGCCCTGCACATTCGCTCCATGCTCTCACCCCATCACACAGCAGTGTTGCCGGACCTGCGAAGGTACATTAAGTCCTGCCAAGATAACTTAAAGACAAAGCACTTTTCATATTTTGATCAAGCACATTCTGTCATCTGTTGCAACAAAAGAAAGTTTGACACAGATGTTTTTCTAGTCAAATAGTTTCCTTTATGTCTTATTTCCCTCGCAGGCTGCCTATATGAGGGCCGAGAGCGATCTAATGGGGAGACGTGGGATGATGCATCAGACCCATGTGCACAGTGTATTTGCCGTGAGGGCTCTGTCCAGTGTGAGAGGAAGCGCTGTCCACTGGCCAACTGTAACCACCCAGTCCGGAGACAGTGCTGCATGTCCTGTGATAGTGAGTGTCCCCCTTACTGAGGAGGATCCACAGACTTTCCTGTCAGCACTTTCCTTGGGAAGTGTTCTCTCTTGGTTATCTCAAAAATATCTTAATCTCCATTTTTTCGACTTGCAGGCTGCATGTTTCATGGTAAAGAATATCCTGATGGCACTGAGTTTGCTGATGACAAAGACCCCTGTGGCGTGTGTTACTGTTACGGTGGGGAGGTCATCTGCACCAAGATACTGTGCAATGGAGAATGCAGCCACCCTTACAAACCACCTGGGCAATGCTGTGGAGAATGTGAACGTATGTAAAGTCACAATCATTCCTGGTTTAGGATCATTGCTTTAAAATGTTACAAAGTGACAAAACAAACCTGTTTTTATTTTATAGGCTGCTTCTATAACAACGCAGTCCTCGCAAACGGACAGTCGATCCCTGACCCAGGAAACCTCTGTGCTGAATGCACCTGTCAGGTAGCATCAACACACACATACACATTCCTGCTGGTTAATCTCTCGAGCCAATGTGTCGTGCTTCTTCTCCTACAGAGCGGTTCAGTGCGATGTGTGAAGAAGACGTGTCCAGCAGCCTGCTGTACTCACCCGATCACCGACCCGTGTGGCTGCCCTGTCTGTGATGGTAACCAGCTTACAAAATATTGCAGTTCACGTTACGTAGAATAAGTAAATACTGATGTTTCACTCTACTGTGTGTAGGTTGTCAGTTCCAAGGTGTGACTTATGTTGACGGACAGATCCTTCCAGGAGGAGAGGGCGGGTGCCAGGACTGCACGTGCTCAGTGAGAGGGAGAAGGGCTGGATTTGGTTTTGGGAGTTGCTGCACCCTCACAGCTACTGTACGTTTTTTTCTTTCTTTTTTTTTTTTTTTTTTTTACATAGAAAGGTGAAGTGGTGTGTGCACAGAGAAGATGCCCGGCGGTGTCATGCCCACAACCAGGACTGGATGGGTGTGCGTGCAGAGTGTGTGATGGATGCAACTTTAACGGACGAGACTGTTTCAACGGAGAGCGGTTCCCACACCCTACAGACCACTGTCAGCTCTGCTCCTGTCTGGTACTACCACACGTGCATTTTATTTTCCATGCACTGTAGATTTTTGTTTGTAGATTTAAGATTTAAGATTTAAGATTTAGAGCACTATAGGAGGACTGTAGCTGACTATGTAAAGGAAATATTGTCATCCTCATTGTGTGTGTGTGTGTGTGTGTGTGTGTGTGTGTGTGTGTGTGTGTGTGTGTGCTTAGAATGGCGCTGTGGTGTGTTCGCATGTGTCTTGTCCAAGTGTTTCCTGTGCGCGTCCAGTGACTCCTCCTGGGGAGTGCTGCCCTGTCTGCACAGGGATCTGTCTTCATCAGGGGAGGGAGTATCAGTCCGGCTCCACCTTCACTTCTCCCTCCGATCCCTGCTCGTCATGCTCCTGTCTGGTCAGTCTGACAGTTCTTACTGAATGAAAAAAACTGTGCATATAATCAAAATTCTTGCTGTCTGATTCCTTTTTCTCTTTCAGAATGAGGTGGTGAACTGTCAGAGGAGACCGTGTCCAGTCCACTGCTCCCACCCAGTCCCTTCAGATACCTGCTGTCCCGTCTGCGACTCTTGTCTGTATGAGGGTGTGGTCCACTCTCACAGTCACACCTTCACACCCTCCTCCAACCCCTGCCAGCGCTGCACATGTGTCAGAGGCACCGTCACCTGCGTGCCTCTGGTCTGCCCGCCAACACCCTGTCTCCAACCAGTTACCAGGCCAGGACAGTGCTGCCCTGAGTGCACAGGTACAAACTGAATGTGAAGGCCTACATGTGTTTCACTCTAGCAAATTTGTGGCCTCAATATTTAATAAACTTTTATGTTCAGAAAATATTTTTTTATTGTTATTTCATGTTAAATTTATCACTTCCTGCAATTTAACTCTAAAAAGTACCTAAAGGTGTTTGTGGGAATTGATAAAAGCCACCTCAAATTCACGCAAATGATCACAAAAATCACATGGCACAAACTTACGTACACATATAAACATGACACATGAAAACAAACCATATCTCTCTGAACCTCATTGAGAATTTTTTTCGTCTTTGTCTCTTGTCTGTCTCAGCGTGTTCACTCGATGGACAGGAGTTCAGTGACGGGCAGGCATGGACTCTGCGTTCAAACCACTGTTCCACCTGCACTTGCCAGGTCTGACTCTTCCATCACTGTCTATTCTCTCCATATTTGCACTTTCGTTGTATTTAAGCACTAATCTATCTGAGTCTTGCAGGCAGGTGAGGTGCAGTGTGCGTCTCCTGAGTGTCCCAAGCTGCCTTGTATGCGCCAGGTGACTGATCCAGGAGCCTGCTGTCCTCGCTGCAGAGGTAACTTGATCACTGAAAATTATAATCGCAGAACGAGATCGTTTTTACCAGCGGTTTAATTGTCCCTCTCAGGTTGTATGTATGGAGGAGAGGAGCATGCTGAGGGCAGTAGCTGGTTCGCAGACTCCACTCCCTGTATGACGTGCATGTGTGTGGACGGGGTGACCACCTGCTCTGAAGTACGCTGTCTATCTCCATGCATTAACTTCATCAGCGTGCCTGGGGAGTGCTGCCCTGTCTGCGCTGGTAACTAATGGAAATCTAAGGCACATTCATGTTTCACATTAGGATTTTCTTTCACTGTGGTGCTTGATAATCTTATATGATTGTTTTTTGAGCAGACTGTGTATTTGAGGGCCGAGTGTACAGTCCAGGTGAGAGTTTCCATCCAGCAGATGACCCCTGTCAGATCTGCACTTGTGAGGTACGATGCATACACACCTGACAACTGAAAACCTGATTGTGACATTTTTTTGTGTAACTTGTTAATGTAGTGAATCTTTAAAGTTTTTTTTTAGATGAACTGTTAATTAACTGTTAATAATAATGAGGCTTATTTTATAATAATTATAATTATAAATAATGAATTATAATTATAATTATAAAAAAATAGAAGTATAAAATAAGGAGTGTATAAAAAAGTGTGCATTAAGCAACAATATATACACTGATCAGCCAAAACATTCAAACCACTGATAGGTGAAATGGATAATATCAATAATCTCGTTACAAAGCAATGCTCTGCTGGGAAACGTTTGGTCCTGGAATTCATGTGGACGCCACTTAAAGGGATAGTGCACCCAAAAATGAAAATTCAGCCAATATCTACTCACCCATATGCCAAGGGAGGCTCAGGTGAAGTTTTAGAGTCCTCACATCACTTGCGGAGATCCCAGGGGAGAGGAGGTAGCAACACAACTCCACCTAATGCAGGCTGACGGCGCCCCAGATTCATACGTCCAAAACCACATAATAATAAAATCAATTATGTGTTTTTGGACGTTTGAATCTGGGGCGCCAGAGTGAAATAGTGAAAAATGGCCTGCACAAGTTCCAGAGGTCAGTGTTCTGAATCCCAAAGATTTCAATTACCAGTTAAATAAAACAGAAAAGCAGTAAATCATCCATTTCCAAATGATTATTAAACTGTCAAAATTGTCTCTGATTAATCTTCTGTCACTCAGTTTTATAGATGAATCGAGTTTCAGCTCTTCTTAATAACAGAGGTTAAAACAGTACTAATTGAAACAGATATGGAAGATCCAGAGGTTTCATTGGCAGTAGTAGTTAAATTAGAAGTTATATTAGTAACTGTGTTGGTTGTAATCCAAGCTGTTTGTGTCGCAGGTGATGCCAGATGGAGAGCAACACCTGAGGTGTTACCGAAAGCAGTGTCCCAGTCTGGTCGACTGTCCCAAGAACAACATCTTGTTCTCCAGCCCAGACTCCTGCTGTCCTGTCTGCGCACGTCAGTATTAAACCGCCTTTTGTGATACACTGTGTATTATCTCTACACTGTCACTGAGCTTTGTGACATCTGTGTGTTTGTTTAGAGCCTCTCAGTAACTGCACCTCTGCGCTGATTGGCAACGAGGTCTTGGCGACAGATGACCCTTGTTTTACCTGCCAGTGCAAGGTACCGTAGCGACGACATGCACCTTGTCTTCTGTCCATCATCTCTTAGAAACCATATAGCCTAAAATATTTGATATTTAACCATTTCATTTACCTATAAATGATAGGAAATGTCAGAGAGAAATGAGTTTCAGTTTGACATCTCTGCCCCTTAAGATCTAACTGTTCTGATCAGATTACAGTCCAGATACCATGTGACTCTGTGCAGTGATACTGTGTCTGTGATTTAGGACCTGACTTGGACCTGCTTACATCAGAACTGCCCTCCACTCACTTGCCCTCTTCATGAACAGTTCAATTCTCCAGAGTCATGCTGCCCCGTTTGTAAATGTGAGATAACACCGTCTTTCTTACAGTTTGTCTGTTCGCTGTGTCTTTTAAAGTTTTAAGCAAGTCCTAACATCCATTATTATTATATTGTGACGGTTCTCCTGTGTTTCATACAGATTGTGTGATTGACGGCTCGAGCAGACGTGTGCCCAACGGCAGCAGCTGGACAGACAGCGATGACGACTGCGTCACATGTACCTGTAACGTGAGTCTTACAGAAATACTCACACTGTTCATGCCAAATATCTCAAGCAGCGTTCAAGATCGTTGTTTGTCAGCGTGTTGCAAACAAAAAGAGTCTGACATTTCAAATCCCTAAAAAACAATAAAACTAGAAGAGCATGTTGAGACCACAGACCTCCACCAAGGCCAAATGCTCGCAATGCTAACAAAAGTGAAAAATAATTTGTATATCTGCCTCGTGATTTGGACCCGCTCCAAAATTTAACGGGTTCTTCCTTGGCCCATGTTACACCATTCCACCAAGTTTTATGATAATCTGTGCAGAAGTTTTTCTGTGATCCTGCTGAGGAACAGAAAACAAATCAACAAAGAAACCCTCTGATCCAAAAACATTTCAATCAGGAGAGACTTGTTCAGAGAGAGAGAGAATATTTATTTACATGACGCACATAAGTATGAGGAATGTGAAAAGTCTTTGGCGATTAGACCCCATTGTGATGTTATCTATTCCAGGAGGGTTGTGAAGGTGTTGTAGATTAGGGATCTCCCCCTATGGAGTCTAGACGCTGGTGGTGGTAATGGGGGTGATGAGATGAGATAAAGAGGAAGCTGAGGGTGTGGATGAGAAGAGGAATGGGCTTTTGATGAGGCCTGGATAAGGAGACTGGAGGTGAATGGGGTCAAGGAGGGTGCAACGATTCCGCCTAAAATGACAGCTGACAGGAGCAGAGAGGAGAACAGATTTAAAGTTTGGCAGAAGCAATGTGAATGGCTGAATGAGCTCGTGGCTGGTTTGACTCGCTGACAGGGAGAGGGAACACCCTTAATCAGATGATTAGAGGGAGTGGTGGAGGTGGGATGGAGAGAGAATGGTGAATGAATATAGCATAAAGAAAGTAATAAAGATCTGGTCCATCTGATGCTGGTTTTGTTGATGTTTTTTGCAGTTTCATCACTGCTACCAGTGCCTCTGTAGCCAGTATCTCACTATCACTATCCTCATTCATATTTTAAGAATCTACAAATTATATTCAGCCACAAAATCAGCCTGAAAAGCTGGAAATCAGAACGGGAGCACAGAGAGTTGTTGCATAGAAATGACACACTGTCTCATCCAGTTGCATCGGTGTGAACCAGCAGGTTGCAGAATGGCGCATTGCACTATGAATAAGGCGTTTATCTCTACATACTTTGTGGGTTGTCTCCCCGAAGATCTTCATGTTGTTCTACAGTAGCCTAAACAGACAGATCAAACCCTGGTTCCAGATAGGGCCATTTGCATTGTTGCATCAGCTGCCGTAGTTCTCTTACACTCTTGGCACACAGTAGAAGTTTCAGTTCTGCAATGTCACCTCTAGATGCTACTAAATCCTACACACTGGACCTTTAATTAAAAGAGTAGATGTATAGCAACAAAACGTACTTTGAGTATTAAAACCAAAAGTGCTCATTATGCAGAATGGCCTCTGTCAGTGTTATATTATTAGATCATGCAAGCAGCACTAAATTAGTCAAGGTGAAGCTTATTGTAACTGTTTCATATACAATCAAGGCACTTTGATCAGTAACAAGGCATCATATTTTAGAAACTGATTCCTTTTTTTTGTATGTAAAATCTGAATCTGAAAGGTAACAAGAAACTCTATCTGTCAGAGTAACTTGAGTAAGAAGCGCACATTTCTCTTTGATATGGGGTGAAAGAGGTATAGAGCAGCATAACACTTGAGTTATGTAAGCTACCTCAAAATTGTACTGAAGTTCAGTACATGAGTAAATGTACTTAATTACTCTCACCACTGGACAAGACTGGTAATAGATCTTGTATCTGTTCAGACCATTTTCTTCTAAAGTAATCTTTTTTCTTTCTGTGTTTCCTCTTTAGTTGGGCTACATCGAGTGCACCATTGAAGAGTGTTTACCTGCAGTTTGTCTGGATGCTCAGAGGCCAGTGAAGATTCCAGGGAAATGCTGCTATGAGTGCCAAGGTATCACAGCCAGCCAACACAGTGAGCGTCCCTAACTTTAGTGTTCTGCCTAACAAGTTTAATCTGTGTGTGTGTGTGTGTGTGTGTGTGTGTGTTTGTGCGTGTGTGTTGTAGACTCCGAGGCGTCGTGTTTGCACCAGGGAACAGTGTATCACTCCAACGAGCAGTGGGAGGTGGATGAGTGCACCAGCTGTACGTGTGTGTACGGAGACGTGCACTGTCAAAGTGAACGCTGCCCTCCTCTCACCTGTGCAACAGTCAGTATTACAAACACGCACACTCTTTCTCAGTGTTTCATCATAGTCTGAAATTTTCCCATGATGCCTCAGTGTCCTGAATTTTTATTCTGTAAAGAGAGACTAAATATCTGACATCTCTCATCAGTGTTTACACTCTGGCTCCTCAGGGCTCATTTTGACACTTCAGTCTCCTGGGTTCCTCTTAGTTACACAGACAGTGTAGCTGAATATACGTGTGTGTGTGTGTGTGTGTGTGTGTGTGTGTGTGTGTGTGCTCTCTCAGGATGAGATGCCAGCCATCGTCCCAGGTTTGTGTTGTCCTCACTGCCTGCCTCGTCCAGCCACCTGCATTGCCTTCGGCGACCCTCATTATCGCACCTTCGACGGCCGCATGCTGCACTTCCAGGGAGCCTGCACTTACATCCTGGCACAGGACTGTGAGGGAGGAGACTTCAGGTGAGTGGGTCACCATGGTTACCCAATAAAGTGCTGTAGTAGGCGTGTTTTGTCTACTCCTTCTACTGCTACTGATACTTCCCTTCCACAGTTACAGTTACCCTCTAAAAACAATCCAAATAACCTGTGACAAGAGATCAGAAGTAGATGTTAACTGGTTTTAAAGACCCCAAAAACATGTTTTCTAAGACAGCTGCTAAAGTGTTTGGGTCTTAACGTGAAAAAAATTTCTGCCAAATTTTGAACAGATTTGCTTATTGACTTATGACTGATTTATGTAATCAGTTTGCTTTGAGCTCCTCCCCCTGGTTTGAAATGTGCGTGACTCTGATGGAAAAAGCTGATGTCACATATTTACATGCAGTTGAGGCAGAGTAATTATAAGCACATCACGCAGGCACAAGGCTATCAATAACAGTGCACATGAAGAAATTAGTAACGCCTGCACACTGTCTCTTTGCCATAAAAGTTTAATGAAGCCACAGTTTTGATCCTGCTTGGATCTTCATCAGGTCAAAATCGTTTTGGCCCATCCAAGCAGGATCAAAACTGTGTCTTAGTTAAACTTTTGTGGCATGGAGTAAGTGTGCAGGCATTACCTTTTTTTCCTCACATACTTACCTGGCCCAATCAGGATTTAGCAGTATTGTAATCAAAATGGGATGCTAGCTGGTAAGTTGCTTGCTTATGTTTCAAGGACACTGTTGATTATATTAAACAAGTCACACACTCCTGATGAGTTATGGAGTGTTACACCATAATAAATAATGTTTTTTCCTTTCCTGAACTTTAACTTTGATTGTTTTATGTTTAGTCATGCGTATTTAATGTTCAAGATTAGTACTTTAGGTTTTTAGAGTTTTCTGTCTGTAAGCGGTCACAAGCCAGAAAGGTTTGGTGCCGTAAAGTAACCAGCAGCAGCAAAACGGATTGGATGTGTGTCAGTTTGCAGACACATCCACTTTTCAAGATACTTTACTTTTGTAACTTGCTATTAAGACTTGGCTTTTTACATTTAGAGCATGAAGAGACAACTTTTGATTTCAAGTCCTTGCTAACGTTAAATTAAAAAAAATATATCAATCGACATGTCTTTTTATGTGACCTTTGAATGAAGAAGCTGATTTTTAAATTAAATTATTGATATTGAAATGTTAATACTGTATATGTCCTGCTCTATGACTCCTGTTTGTTTGTACAGCATTCATGCCACTAACGATGATCGTGGGCGTAAAGGAGTGTCCTGGACTAAAGAGGTGACCGTGTTTATAGGAGACATCACAGTGCAGCTGCTCCAGGACTGGGTCGTGAAGGTTTGTGTGTACAAATAATGCAAATAATTTTTAAACAATCTTGTTTGTGTCATGCATCAACTAAGCTGTACTCTTCAGGTGAATGATGAGGTCGTGACGTTGCCGTTCCTCAGAGAACCGTACATCTATGTAGAACGACAAACCAACACCATCTTACTCAACACTAACATCGGGCTGAAGGTATAGTCTTGTCTCTTTTATGATATAATAACATATGATTGGAAACACTAACAGTTCGGGCACTCCCAAATCCTGTCACACATTGACACTCACTGGCTCACCTGTAGGTGCTGTGGAGTGGACGTTCACATCTAGAAGTGAGTGTGCCAGGCTCCTATAAGGACCACATGTGTGGCCTCTGTGGAAACTTCAACAACTACTACCAGGATGACCTCCGAATGCCCAGTGGACGGATCAGCCTGTCAGAGTCTGACTTTGGCAACAGCTGGAGGGTAAAATAAATACATATAGAGACAGAATAAAATAAAGTGAAATTGTCATACAAAAACAAATCTTTTAAAATCTGTTTTTTCATTGTAGGTCACAAATGGTAGCCACGCCCTTTCATCCTGTCGCCCCGGCGAGAATGTCAACCCCTGTAAAGACGCAGGTTACCAGGCTAAGAAGGGGGCCAACGCTCGCTGTAAGGTCCTGAAGTCGGCTGCATTTAAGCCCTGCCATCGGGTGGTGCCTCCTGAGCCGTGGTACGGAGCCTGTGTGTACGACCTCTGTGCCTGTGCGGCCAACACTGATGAGTGTCTGTGTGACACTCTGGAGGCCTACGCAAGTCAGTGCAGAGAAGCCGGAGTCATCCTGAAATGGAGGAGCCCCTCACTGTGCGGTGAGTGAAACACACACTTAAAGGTCCTGATAACATATCTTTTAATCCGCTTCTGAGTAAGAGCAATGGGGGATAGCAATACATGTGGGTAATAATCGGCCAAAGTACATAATAGATGGGTCATTGGAGATGTGCTGCCATGTTGGGACAGAAAGCAAACCAGGACTAGAAATGTGTACTGAGCAGACTACAGATGTCAACCAGGTGGCACATGGGGCTTATCGTGGCCACTCGAGACGTACATGCAGCACAGCTAAACCTAGTGGAATTGTCCCTCCCGGCTCCCTTACAGTCAAGATGGTTGTGAAGATAACAAAAATGGGTCCTTTTTTTTTCATCTCGTATTGTGCCTAACTGTAGAGGATCATAACATATTGGGTATGGGGTTAATATGCAGATACTGTGGTTCAAAGTGAGACCAAAGTTTTTTTATGGATGTCAGGTTTTGAGCCACGATGAAGGCCCAAATGTGGCCCGCAACAGATGGTAAGGCTTCTTCTTTTTAGCCAAGATTATTTCTGGAAAACTTGCCGTCCACTTCAGAGGAGTCAGCAGTCATTAATGATATAAAACAGTTGGTTTTTTTACCAATTGTGAATCACCACAACCACAAGAAGTCCTTTAGCATAGTGTCATACACGTGCACACAACATATTAGGCTGATTGGTCCAGTAGAATTCGAGATTAGCTGCCAACAGACAGATGCACACACAGGACCAAACGCACAATCCCCTCCAGGCTTACACCTGGCAGAGATAATAATGATTCAGAGCTTATGACAAGATCAACATGTGAAGTTGTTTTTGTGCCTCAAACTGCACAAATTGCAGGAGTAACCAGTCAAAAATGTTTAATATCCCTCAAAGGCAACTCGGAGAGCTCAGAGAACATAATTAGCTAAGTATCCAGCTATCTGGTCAGACCCCTGGATTTTAATAAGGCAGTGGATTGTAGGAAGAAACACCTTTTTAACAGAAGACAGCTCACACACAGTTGCTCTGTGTTTATGGCTGTTTATTTAATATTGCTAATGTTTGTCAGGCTCTATGATGAGTGCTTAGGTGATCAGTTTGACGTGCAGTTAGAGTGTCAATGTGGGAGTTGGTGACAGTTGATAGAGGTGCAGACTGATGGCTTTTGATGGGAAATCAAGTTTTCAGGGGCTTTAAACATCTACTTTATGATTTTTCAATAATACAAAAAGTAAAGAGTGACAGGTGAGGATTTTTATGAACTACATGCGTAAGTAAAATAAATGTAACATAGTCAAATATATAAAGTAGATTTTTTATTTCTACATCTCAAAATGACTTGGGCACTGGATCAAACACTCACCAAAGTCAACCATCTCCTATTGTAAACTGCTCAGTGATGCTTTGCCACAACAATGTAGCCTCAAATAAAAATGAAAAGACGATGTTGTTTTCTTATTGCTGTCAGACACCTGCTAACTCCCACTGGTCACCCTTGAAGCTATAGTGGTCACAATGTTCTTATTGTTTTCTCTGTGTCACTGTCTTACACAGCTGTGGGCTGTCCAGTGGAGAGGGGCTTTGTGTTTGACGAGTGCGGGCCCCCGTGTCCCGTAACCTGCTTTAACGTTGACGTACCACTGGGGGTTATAGAGAGCCACTGCTTCAAGCCCTGTGTCCCAGGCTGCCAGTGTCCTGCCGGTCTGGTTCTACACAACAACTACTGCATACAGCCAGAAAAGTGCCCCAAGATCATTCATGAAAAGTCCACATAAGTCTCTGGACTGCTCACATTTAAGTGGACACTTGCTTGTATGCACATGCACTGTCACCTCTGCCCAGCTGGCCACCAAGGTCTTTAGATGTTGAATGTAGGTTATGACATCCAGTGACCAAACATCAATGTCAGGACTAGTCTAATGTCAACGTCAAAGTGACGTAGAATAAAGACAACAGATGACATTGATATTTTCTTGGTTTTAAGTTGTGTTTAACCTAAATCTAACGTCATCTAAAAGTCTCAAACATCATCAACAGCAAAATGTCATTATCTCAACCTCCTCACAAGATGGAATTGTAATGTTAGAAAATGTCAAGGTCCAGTGTGTAAGATTTAGGGGGTTATTGGCATCTATTGGTGAGGACTGCAGATTGCAAACCAGCTGAAACTTCTCCAGGTTAGAATTCCTTCAGTTTTCATCGCTCAGGAGGTTTTTACTGGGAGCCGAATTATCCGCAGAGGTCTCTTCCCCTCCAAAACAAATGGACCAGGTGATTAAAACCAGTAAAAACACTGAAAGAAGTAGTTCCACATTACAAATTAGTGTTTCTCTTGTGCTGTTTGGCATTTCAGAGATGGGCCGCTAGCCCCAGCTGCACCTGCTAAGGTCCGTAAGATCCAGACGTTCATAAGGTTTTTACCGGGAGCTGATTATCTGCAGATGTCTCCTCCTTTGCAAAACAAACAAACCCATTGATTTAAACAAGAAAAACACTGACTGAAGCAGTTTCACTTTGAATGTCTGTCTATTTCCGACGCTCTCTTCTCAGAGTGGGGCTTCTAACTACAATGGGCGATGCAAAAATGTGATATTCAGAGCCATTGTTTGGTTTGTCCATTCTGGGCTACTGTAGAAACATGGCAGTGCAACGTGACGGACTCCATAGACCAGGACCTGCTCCCTATGTAGATATAAACAGCTCATTATAAGGTAACGAAAACACAATTATTCTTGTTTTCAGGTGATTTTACACCACAGAAAACATACTTATTATATTTTATTCCATTTCTGCCAATAAATGCCCCTAAATCCTACACACTGGACCTTTAAAATATCATCAACCCAAAACTGTTCCGTCCATCCAACGGAAGAGTCCAGATTCTGTCTGACGCCACTGGTGCTAGATAATCTTCAATCCACTCAAGGACTGCATAAGCCTCCTGTTACTGTATACTGACATCTGAAATAGAAAAACAGATCAACCTCCATCACCTGTGGATTTAACATATCGACTGAAGTGAAATACTGCATTTTTGTGTTTTTATTAACATATGTAGCACTGAATATTTGAATATTTATACTACACAAGGGTTTTTTGGTTATAATTTCACGTGTATTGGTTTTTTTGTACTTGTTTTGTTTGATGCATAACTGTTGTCTGCCTTGAGGTTATTTTAACAGTATTATTTACTATACAAAGAGCATTTGTTTACTGTACAGGTTTATTTCAGCACTGTGCGATGTCTGACTGTATGAACCACATAATCTCAGGTACTCTTATCTTTTTTTTGCTCTCTATAGTACAAATAAACAAAGGCTTCACTACTATTTCTTGTATTTCATCCATTATTGAGACATGAGTATAATTTTAGTGAAGCTTTATTTTATGGGTCTGTAATTTGTTTGTAATTTAACAGGAAGTTTGGAAATAAATATGTATTTGGTGCTAATTAAATGTAAGATAATGCAGACAAAGTGTTCAGTTGGTCCAATTAGCTGCTTGTGTACATGAGAAAAAATTTTAGTGAGTGTACAGCAGGTCAAGTAATAGCCAATTAAATGGTTCTTTCCTTGAAGCTTCCCAGGAAATTATTAGGACATTACACACCCATAAAATAAAGTGTTACCAGCATTGAACCAGTGGGTGCTTTATAAGATATATGATGATGATGTATGAGACAGGCAACAAGATACATTCACACTGGGATCCACTAACTTTCACTAGAACACCTTTCACGCAGGTGTAATGAGTCACATGTTCACGTATCACATTTCCCCCTCTGACAGATACACTGTCACTTTTGTTGCTTGGTAACCTGATCCAGCTGTTGTCCAGAGGACTGCTGTAACCATAGCAACAGCCTGTATTATGTATGAGTCCACAGTAGTGAAAACATGGAGCAGGTAAGATGTTCTGATGTTGGGTGAGAGCTGCATTTGTTTTCCATGTATGTGTGTGTAACTACAACTGATCTTTCCTTCAGGAGTGTGTCACCGGTCTGTACCGATCCCTGGGACTGTCTGTCGGAGCTCAGTTTTCCTCTAAGGATGTGAGCCTGCTCTACCACAAAGTGTTTCATGTCCCCTCCAACAGTGATGAGGCACATGTGGCCATGCAGAAGGTAAAAACTCAAGACATGTTTTAATGAACAAAGCAGCTGCTGATCAATTTTTCAGTCGTCATTATGGGATACTCCTTTGTACCTGTGTCTGTTTCAGATTGCAGGAGGTGATAACAGTTGGTCCTGTGTTGGTGAAAATGTGTTGGATGTTCTCCTGGAAATGGAAAGGGAGAGGGAAAAGAAGGAGAAGGTAGTGAATTCATTTGTTTTATTTCTTCTGAATCTTATATGAGAGTGTATGAGAAACCCAGCGACCAAAATATTATGTCATCACTATGAGAGTCAATATTGTTATCTGCAGCTCTACTGGGACCTCCAGCTGCTAAATGCTGGAAATCTCAACACTTTCAACGGGACGGACGAACCACTTATCATCGATCCTCATGTGCTGGATTGCCTCCACCACAGCACAGACCCAAATACTTACAAAAAAGTGGTGGGGAAAAAGGAGCTGTTGGGGAGTGTGAGAGGAGTGAAGAGGATCAAGAAGGCAGCTAGGCAGTGCTGGGCCAGGTGAGCATCTTAACTTTAAGAAGTTACAGTGTTACTCAAATACAGTTCTGAGGTAAAGGTGCTTTACTTGAGTGTTTTCTTATATAATACAGTACCACATTACAGACTGACCTTGCAGATTGAGGCTATTTTTGGAAAACATAAATTAAGATGAGCTCAAAATATGATGCATTGCATTGTTTACCAGTGTAAGACTTAAAGCCACATTGCCCACCTACAGCATTGTAATACTGCAAGTGTTATATTCAACACCTGAAAGGCACTTTACTTTACTTTTCACTTTACTTTTGATTTAATATTGCACTTTATTGCAAATATTTTTTCCTCACCTCGAGTAAATTTTGGATGCAAGACATTTATAACAATGTCAAATGCTACAACATATTGTAACAGCAGCACAAGTAGAAACAAGTCAGTGAACAAACTCAGTAGTATCTGTAATGCATATATCCACCTAAAGTCTGCTAACATCAACCAACGTAAGCCATCATACGATACTGGTCATAATAGGCCGAGTAAGGCTGTAGCACCAAAACTCCCAAGTGTGTGGATTTTTTTTCTTCTTTAAAAAGCCACATAATCACATTGTCTTCAGTATGTGCACATTGCAGCATTGATTCTTTTACTTTGAAGGAGTACTTTACCCCTAAGATGACTATTTGTACATCAGTTACTCACCCTGAGACTTCTGTTTACACAATGTGGTGTCAAGGCACACATTGTCCAAACTCTATATCATTTCAGCATAATCTTTTCTTAAAATACCGTTTATCATTAAATACTGTGTCCTCATATTGAAGCAATTCCTGTGCTTGAGAGGCGAAATCAGCAGAAAAGGCAGGCAGAAAGGTGACAAATCAAGCCCAAAACCACGGTGCTAATGTTTGTGGCAAAATGGTGGATAACGCTGTACCTCAGCTAACAATGGAGATGTTTGTGGAAGAGCTTTAAAAACTAAGGGAAAAGTATGATCAGCAAACTCAAAGTTCCACTGAATTGTTCCTACGAACCAGTACGATCCTCAGTTGAATCGTTTCAGCACAATGTGGCGACTCAAGCTTTCACTATCAGAGAGATGGAGACTAGCCTAACTGTTAACAGCGACAGGGAAACGCAGCTTGAACTTGATGTGAGTGGACTTCAGTCTTACCTCAGATCAGCAATAGAGGAGAATCAATTACTCACCCTGTATTACATTGAATTTGTGAAGAAAACTTTGTTTATCTCGCACGCCTCCGCAGTGAAAGAAGAATCCAAAAAAGAAGAAAAGCAGGAAGCTGGGAGCTGCTGGTCTACTGCTGCCTCCATTGGTAGTTTGTTTGTGTTATGCGTGAAATTGGTGAATCTAAACGATCCCTTAAAACACCAAAGTCAAACAATAACACAAACAAACAGACGGAGGCAGCGATAAACTAGCAGCTCCCATGTTCAGCCAGGTAAAATAACTGTTTTTGTCAATGGAGTCTGGCTTTGAAGAGAGCATAGATAAGTTTTACTTGTAGTTCAGTTCCCCATCAGAAAGACCTGCCAATTTTTTTCTTAAGCACTAAAAACAATTAAAACCTTTATTTACTGTTACAAGCCACCTATTATATGTTGAAGTGCTTGTTTAATATCATTAAGATATTAATATGTGTTTATCTTATCTTAGATTGGCATCAGAGGGTGTGCAGAGTATATTGCCCTCTCCCTGGCAGAGCCAAAGCCTAGCAGTTAGAGGTCAGGCCTGGGGCTGTGTCTCCCTGTCAGACGCCCTCCTCCTGGTGGAAGTCAAGTACGATGTTGTGACCCACTTGCTTTACACAGAAATGCTACAGGAGCACTACAGTAAGGAAAAGTTTCTCTGAGCTGCCACTGCAATATACCACAGAAAACAGTCTCCTAAATCTAATTATAGCTTACTCAGCATCACAGAGCCTGGTCCACGTGCTTCACATTCCTGTTTTTTTTTTTCTCCTCCTTTTCTTTTTTTTTTGTGGTGATACCACAGCTCTGAGTATCTGGGAGACCCTGCTGCCATGGCAACAACGTAAGGAAGAGGAGGGGCTGGGGGATCTTGCAGAAGAGGCTCTGGAGTCAGGTGACATGCTTGGTTTGGCTGAGCTGCCAGGAGCATTCAGGATATACAGGTAACACAATAACAAGGTTATTATTAGAAATTTAAGATGACATGAAAACTAAATATACTGAAATGTGCTGAAGTGAAAAGAAAACAACGAAACAACAACACATCAATATTCTTAGCTTCAACACAAACAAAGTAAAAATTCAGTGTGTACTGCTGAGAGAGCAGTTAATTATGTCATGATTCCAGAAAGGAAACTTACTTTCAGTTGTGTATAAAAACACACATAGCATACTTAATCAGAATTCAAGTCAACATTACAAACCCCATGGTATTTTTCTTTATGGGCATCGGACAAGTGCACCATAACAAAGATAATTCTCTTGCAGGCCCTGCCTGAAAAGCTATCCTGAGTCTTGGTCTGCCGTTTCACTCCTGAATGATTCACACACGTTTCGTCAACAAGAAAGGGACGCACTAACAGTCCTGGGCAAGAGGTAAAGACTTTTGAAACACATCAGGTGAAGATCACACCATTTAAATTGTTGGGAATACATCTACACATCAAGAAAGTTGAAATAATGTCAGATGAGTTGACTTCAGAATACCCTTATAATAATTTGATTTGCATACTGTCAGATCTTGCTCACCTCGTACCTGAGAGGTTAATGTTAATGCAAGCAGTTACAGTTAGATTATATGTGGCTTTTACAGGTTCAGAATGAGTTGCTTCATTAATATTTCCCCTCCAGGCTGGACAGAGAGAGCCTGAGACTGTTGTGTCTGTACATCAGTTTGGCAACTCTCAGAGCTCAGAGAGAAAACATGTCCTACAGCGCTCTTCTGGCAGCTCGGCAGTCCTGGGAGACATGGTGAGCCAACAAACACTAACGCTTAACACTGAAAATGAAAATGTACTCACTATCATCTGGTTTGGCTTTATAGCATTTATTTGCACACAATAGTTCAGCTATACACTGTCTGTACTTTGTGTATCTGCTCAGGCCACATGTGAAGAGTCCCTGCAGAGCAGAGCACGCAGCTCTGTGGCTACATGATGACAAGGAGGAGCAAAAGAAGGACTTCTCTTCTGTCTCAGTATCACCACAGCAGGTAGTTTACATCCGGGCAAGTGATTCTGAGACACAGGCAGCACATTATGTTGTAAAATTATTCTTAAAATTCTGTTCTGCGATTATGTTTACTGAGTAATGGCTAACAGTGAAACACTACAGTGGTTTTATCAGCAGCAAAACAACTCTGGCCCTGTTACAGCAGGCAGTGCTGCAGTTGCTGGTACTGACTCAGGAGCAGGAGAGGAAGCACCTGGTCAAGTTGGCAAATGGGGTCTCCGTAGAGGATTTGCAGGAGCCAGGTTGCACGGTGCCTGCAAAAGAGGGTAAATCACTTTTTTTTTTTTATTTTGCTGCGAGCTTGTCTTTTGTATTCCCCTTATTTCTATATTCCGTCTTTCCTGTTTCTTCTTTCCTACACAGATAATCATCAACAAGCTGCTTTCAGAAGTGGCTGTATCAAAAAGCTGAGGCAAATCCATGCCAGTCTGCAGACACCCAATGAGACTCAAACCCCCTTAAAGCAAACAAGCTTTCAGGCACAGCCCCAAATTCAGGCCCACATAAGCAGTAATCCAGCAATGTGGTACCAACACCAGCTGCAGGATTATTCCCTGCTCCTCTTGACCCAGCTGATGGAGCTCCAGGAGGTCCAAGCTTCTGCATTACTGCCAGCACTGATTGACAAGGTAGAGCAACCACAGCATCCATACCAAGATTCTACATTAACACAGGCTCTTTTAATAAAGCACAGTCTATTATGTTTCTGTTAGAGTGCACAGCGGCTCCACGCTCTAAGAGATGAGTATGCATCTGAACTTCAAGCACCACGCTACACCAACCTACTCCACCTGATCTCAGACACCCCTCTTACTTCACTCACTCCTTATCCAAAGTTAACCGAAAATAGCAGCAGTGAGCAAATCACAGCTCAGTCCTGCCGCAGTGGACTGGACGATGCTCAAAATGGCACCGGTGGGCCGGCTGAAGCTCCAACAGTGGATTCAATCAGAGGGGCCAGTAGAGAACTAAATGTGGTGCAACCTGCAGAGCGGACCGATGTCTGTGCAGGTACTGCAAACACAGACAAACACAGATCACCATACACTCACAGCTGCAATTACAACATGTTGCTTTCCCCCAGGTTGTGGAGCGGTCATGGAGGACCTGCCCTACTTGGAGATCTTGTGTGTATCAGATGCAACAAGTAATACCCATCAGAGTCTCGCTGCAGACGGAGAAGCCCAGGAGGAAAAGGTGGGCAGTACAACAAAGAGCCCCCAGAGTTATGAGAAACAGGGCTCACTGATCGCCCTCGCTTGGAGCAAACCACCAGAGGATGACACTGACTGTGAGGCTGCAGTCAGAGGCACGGGACAGAGACAGGGTGTACAGCCAAGTGACACAAGCGGCACAGCTGGGCACACACAGAGTGAGGAGACGTCAGGAGAGAGTGACAGAGAGGAGATGAAACCCACAGGTCATCCTTGCAGCACAGTAGGACAGGTACTCTATAAGTATAAAGCAACCATAACACATTTAATTACTATGTCACACATCTAATTTTTTGCATTCTCATTAGTTGACCTTGGAGGAGAGAGCAGCAGCTGATCACACAGGGAAGAGAGAACCTGAAGGTGACCTGCAAACACATGCTTTGGTAGCAGAGACCGTGCAGGATTTACACGCACATCTCTTGGTTGATCCTGCTGAGATGAAGCAGCATGCTGGTGACTTCTGCTTTGAACTGACCCTTGAGACAGCTAATGCAGACAGAGAAGTGCTTGCGGAGGAAATGTGTCCAACTGCAACAGAGTCAGAGCTGTGGGATCTGAGAGGGCCTGACTCTGCCCATGCTGAAGCCCAGAAATATAATACATCAGCCACGGTGAGTCTGCTGTTATGTCAACCAGTGCTCATGATTTGGCTGAACATTTCCACATTTATTCAAATTTTAAATGCCACAAATATGTTGTTTCCGGTTGTAAAGGTTGACTGTGGCCCTGCAAAAAGGGAGGCCACACTGATGGAGAGAGAACGAACAACAGAACCAGTCTCTGCGCTGGAGAGAGAAAGGACGATGCGCAACCTGGTGGACATGCAAAGAAAGGTCGAACAGAGGCAGCAGAGAGACAGAGAGAGACAGCTGCTGAGGGTGAGAGAACATGTAGAGGCAGAGTAGGGATTTGTTGCACAACTTCACCCACCATAGAGAGGGGGAGAGGGGAAGTGAAAGAGTATTCAGATCAGTGTTTATCAGAGGCAAAGGTCACATGTCACTGTGACACTGTGTTTCAGGTTCAGGAGCGGCTGTTGATCATCCAAAACAGGAAGGCAGAGGAAGACTTGCTCGGCCTGAAACACACAGACAGGCTGCGGCACCTCACACAAGATCTACCACAGGTGACTTGCCGAATATTGAGCCTAGCAGGCTGCCTAATAATATAACTTTTGTAATATCACCATTACTATTGTGTTTTAGGAGGATAAGAATCAGCAGAAGACAGTTGTTAGAGAGCGGCTGGAGCAGCTGAGAAGAGAGCGCTCATATGTCATGCAGTCCAAACGTGACCGGTAAGAGACGCCCCTTTAATTTAAACAGGAAACACCAACGTTCGGTTTACCACCATCCTCTATATCTGGCTTTTTTCTCCAGGAATACTGCAGGATTTAAGGAACTCCTGGGTCCAGTAGCTCTCCACAGCAGAGACACAGATGATGGAGCAGACTGAGAAACTACAGCTGCTTGAGTTTATGTCTAATTAAAGGTATACTTCACCCCCCAAATGACCATTTGTATATCAATAACTCACCCTGTGTTACGTTAAATTTACGACGCCTCGCAAAGTTCCAGTGAACATAGAAAATTCTACATGAATTTAAGTCATATGCGACGGCATTTAAAGGAATACTTCACGCACAAAATGACCATTTGGAAATCAGAAAGTCATGCCGTGTTACCTTTCCTTGTTTACCTCTCTGCCTCCACAGATATGATGAGCATATGGATTACTTCATTGATTGGGGACCATGTTTAATGAGAGCAAAACTATATCAAACATTCATTTTCCGTAACCGCTTATCCCGTTAGGAGTCACAGGGAGGCTGGAGCCTATCCCAGCTGACATGGGGCGAGAGGTAGGGTACACCCTGGATGGGTCACCAGACTATCACAGGGCTGACACATAGAGACAGACAACCATTCACACTCACATTCACACCTACGAACAATTTAGAGCCACCAATTAACCTGCATGTCTTTGGACTGTGGGAGGAAGCTGGAGTACCCGGTGAAAACCCACACTGACACTGGGAGAACATTCAAACTCTGCACAGAAGGGCTCCCCTACCACAGGGTTTGAACCAGGAACCCTCTTGCTGTGAGGCAACAATGCTAACCACTGCACCACTGTGCCGTTTATTGGCAAAAATGCATGTTTGGAAAGTATCGAACATACGGCTGGATGAATGAGACGTAATACACTGCATTTGCTGTATAATAAGTGTCTACAAGTGTCTGTTGTTAAACATGGTCCCCAGTCAATCAAAAAATCAGTAATGTGCTGTTTTCCGTGGAGGCATGCGAGAAAAACTAGTTCAGACAACATCACACAGCATGACTAATGATAAACAAATGGTCATTCTGTGAGTTAAGTATTTAACAACAGCAGAACTATATCAAAACATCTATTTACAAGCTCTCACACAACTTGTGCAGTATAATCCAAGTCTCGTTTATCCAATCACATGCTCAGTACTTCCTAAACAGCAAGTCCTTTACCATGGGGAACTGAATGGAATGTGAGACTTATCTATGCTCTCTTCAAAGCCAAACTCCATTTACAAAAACAGTAGTTTTACCTACCTTAGTGCGGGAGCTGCTGGTCTTTCACTGTCTCAATCGGTTGGTTTGTTTGTGTGTTTGTGTGGTGCTTAGTTCATGTAACTTTGGTGAATCCAAACTAAACCTTTGAAACACCAAAGTCACACAATAACATTAACAAACCGATCGAGGCAGAGATAGATCAGCAGCTCCCGTGCTCAGCAAATTAAAGCTATTGATTTGTCAGTGGAGTCTGGCTTTGAAAAGAGAATAGATCAAGTTTCACTTTCTGCTCAGTTCCCCATTGGAAAATGCTGTCTGTTTGAGAAGTACTGAGCATACAACTGGATTAACGAGAGTCTGATTACACTGCACGAGTTGTGTGTTTGTAAGAGCATGTTTTGATATATTTTGCCGTTGTTAAATGTGAACCCCACCTTACTTTAATTCATCAGGAATTTTCTGTTTTCTTCACAAATTCAATGTAACACAGAGTACTGGATATACAAATGATCATTTTGTGGGTGCCATATTTCTTAAAATTCAGAATTTTTGTCCACTCCACACTGTCCAAAAAATGTATGGTTTTCTAATGACTTAAAAATCTACTAAGCCACACTGTTTATCAGATTATATTCTGATGGGTTGAAGTGTAATGCTGCAGATTTTGAAAGCAGTGTCCGTCCAGTTTATAGTCATGTAAGCACACATCATGAAAAATGTTGCAGGTTGTGCATATGAAATAAGACAGATATCAAATTTGAAGTGACTGTTTATTATACAGTTTAATTATCATCTTGACAAACATAAGCATCAACAGTAATGTCATTTATCAATGACCCCCTTTAGTTGTGTACACACAATCCCCCCTGTGGCCTAAATTCCATACACAATGAGTCGCAGAGGTGCATGTTAACAGTCTACAGAGGTTCCATCAACTCTCCTTCATGTGAATATAACATTTATATTGGCACTGTTGGCCATTGCTCACGTGTGTGAGGAATAATGTGACTGGACGAAGGACACTGCTGCAGACTCTGAATGCACCTATGGACTGGGGCAGTATTTATTTACAGGTCTGTGGGAGTGGGAATATTGTAACATGTCAAAGGATGTAAGTTTGGCTAACAACTCTACGATGGGGAGATATGTATAATACAGAGGTTTGGTGCGGGCCCAGTGGTTTTCCTGTGAGAGAGGACACCCTCCTCTCTTGATCCTGGTGAGTGGAGGGAAATGTCTACGTGGGAAAGATTCTCGGCAAATAAACATTCTGTTTGTTCCTCTTACACTGACCCTATATGGTGTCCACTCACACTGCAGTCCAACACAAAGCAGGAATAACTATCACTCTAATAAGCCAGAACATTCCACAGCAGCTCGCACACACTGAGCCACCGCATTACACACACATACAAAGTACACAAGTGTGTCCTCAAATCAACTGAAGAGTACACAGCTTAGGTTCAAGTTCAGTGGTCTCGAACACACTAACATTCAAACCAACAAAGACAAGTTTGAAATCCAAACTAAAAAAAAACATGGTGCCTGGCTGACAGGTGCTTTACTCAGGGCTTTAATATTCTAGCAATGTGACAGGCTGGGGACTAAAACCAGTCCTATTTTCAAAATATGACAGTTCTTCTTAGAGGATGAGGTGGATTAAACGTGCGGTTCTCAGCAGGCTGTGCAGAGGACACACTTTTTAGGGCTGTAATCAGGTCAGCTCTTATGATAGCAGGGCACTTTGATAGCAGTGACACGCTGAAATTTTAACAGGTGTGGTTTCAGATTTCTCCGTCATGTCCTGTCCAGACCCTGGATCTACGTGTGCAAGATCTTCGGCAAGAAAGCAGCATGCGCTTGTGTGTGAAAGACTAAACTACACCTTATACAAGATAGTCAACAATATTTGCATTTTATACACTAGACTGGTGTTTCCCACAGTGAAAGGTAAAAGCCTAGGATGAAAACAGGGCGGTCCAAGTCAAGTTCAGTCAGTGAACCTTCTCGCTGGAGGCTTTGATGAGCACTACTGTCCATAAACACAAAATGGTCATCACACATCCAGCATATCTCTGACTTATGGGCACCATGGAACTGAGGAGGGTGGATATACGTGTGTATGTGTTTGTGTATATCTCTCTTTCATGGGAATCATGAACGGAGATAAATCTGCATGTATGTGCGTCAAGTCTTGAATGGTGTTAGCAATGGGACTCAAGGGATGTTCATGTATTTATGTGTGTGGATGTCTTTATGTATGAGTCTTTCTATTGGTGTGCGCACTGCACCCCCGGGCCATGGTGGCCCCCCTCCTCATCAGAACTATCATTGTAGGCCTCTCTCCTGGCTCCACCTCCTGACCCTTGACTCTTGTCAAATTCTGTCAGGTCGACTTCCTCTGCATCTGCTGCAATAACAGGATTCTCTGAACGAGCAGGCAACAAGCACTCCAGTTCCTGAAAGATTAGAATTTAAAAAAACATCATGACACCGCAATCATTCAAGCTTAAAGGGATAATTCCAGTCTTTTAAAGTGGGTTATATTAAGTACTTATCCATAGTCAGTGCATTATCTACAGGAGATGGCGGTCGGCACGCCCCCAGTTTGGAGAAACAGGCAGCAGTACTGCCACAGAAGCTAAGCAATGTACTGCTGTGGAGGAGGGCAGCAGCAAAACATGTTTTCGCCACATAAAAAAGTCCCACTTACAAAAATCTCTTAGTTTTTAAGATTTTCACTGCTTTCCATTGCCACAGACAGCCCTTTCTGATGGAAAAGCTGTTCCCCATTTATGCTCTCATCAAAGCCACCAGACTCCATTGGAAAAAACAATAAGTTTAGCTTGCTGAACATGTTAGCCTCTGGTCTACTGCTGCCTCAGTTAGATTGTTTGTTTGTGTTATTGTGTGACTTTGGTGTATCCAAACTAACCTTCCTCAATGCCAAAGTCACACAATATCACAAACAAACAAACTGATCAAGACAGCGGCTAACCAGCAACTCTCATATTCTGCGAGCTAAATCTACAGTTTTGTCAATGGAGTCTGGTTTTGAAGAGCGTGATAAAATGGCTTCAGTTCCCTGTGACAAATTACCATCTGATGGTAAGGTGAAGCAGTGAAAATATTCCAGATACAGCATACACTTACACTGATTATGATTTTTTTTTATGTGGGACTCTTTTTAGCTGGCTAAAATACACTTTTGCTGACCTCATCACAGCAGTACATTGTTTAGTTTCCGTGTCTGCACTCCTGCCTGCTTCTCCAAACTGCTGGTGTGCTGACCAGCGTCTACCGTATATAATACACTGACTATAGATGAGTACAACCCCACTTCAAAAGATCCTACCTATCCCTTTAATGGAGTTAAAATTGTGCAGATCAGCATGTTTAACAATTGCAACTCACATTCAGTTTTTCGGGGCTAATCCAGTTGTTTTCAGGGAACTGGACATCGAACTTGATGTAAAGGTCTCCCTTCTCAAAAGGGTTTCTGTACTGAGGCATCCCCTCTCCCTTCACCATGCGAATACAACCTGCCACACAGACACACACCAACAAAAGGATGTAAAGGCACGCAGGGGCAAAAACAATGTTTGACCTTGCAGTTTATACGCTATATATTGTTACATATGCTAACACAACTGTCAGGCAATAAAAACTATGCTTTAAATATGTACATCACTGGCTGTCTGCATGTTATGATGTGGTACAAAAACAATTTAAAATCATATTATTTGGGATTTGTTGTATATTTACACACTTGACAAGAAAAACTTGTGTTATATTCCACTTTCTTAAGTTTTAACTGTCACGAAAATGTATATGCCTTTGATCTGGGGTAACTACACTTTGGTGGATAAACCATAGTTGATGCTGTGTTACAGATACCCTTAGTATTTACCAGGAAATTATAGACTTTAATAAATCATAAGACAGCTTGAAGGCAGAGACGGTAGAGAAAGAACAAACTAGCTGCAGAAGAAAAACCGTAATAGGTGCAGTTAACAGTTAATTAGGCAATCATCTTGTCCTCTAAAATCAACCAGAGCAAAAGAAGCAGGACTGTCATGAGAGTCTCAATTAGTGTTGTCACAAATATTGATTTATCAATACATATTGATTCTAACTATTTTAAACTGTTTCAATACTCATTTTCCTCAGTATCAATACTATTGATACTACTTTCTCACTCTCTCTTCTCTCCAACAGCAAAGTCACACACACACCAGCACACCTCTG